AACTTTTTAACTTTCCTTTCTGATTTTGGTTTATATGTTGCAAATGCGAAAGATTCACGGGCGCAATCCATCTGAAGATAACCGGCATCACCTCTTTCGGTTTCTACTTCTAATTTTTAAAGCTTTGATATTTGATGATTTGTAACCAACGAATAAACGCATGCATTTAAAAGCGGCATCACATGTGAAAGCTTTATTTGAAACTAGAGTTGCTTTAACTTTGCGTTTAATATATGTGTCACCTAATTGGTTCACATCATGAGCCGGATTTGTAATTCTTAAATGAGCTTGTTTATCATCAAAATATGGAGCATCAGAGTCATAGCATGAACTTTCAAGTTCTCTAATAATATCTTCTACCGTCATTCTTTGCGAATATTTCATTTATCTTTTCGAATGAATGAAACACATTTCCATTAATCGGTTTAGTGTTTGGCACCAAATAGTTAGTCGTCATTTATTAATAAATAAAAAATCAAAAATTAAAGATGAAAATGAATTTTTAATTTTAATGAAATAATCAACTATGGCTGCAGGTATATTTAAGAAACTGTGGGATAGAGTAAAAAGAGGAGCGAGTAAAGTTTGGGAAACATTGAAGAAGGGGGCAAATTGGATATTTAAGAATAAAGAAGCAATTAGTGACGTTGCTGAATCAATAACACCAAAAGCTGCCCCAATAAGAGAAGTTTTAAATAAAGGAGAAAAAGTTTATCAAAGACTACAACCGATACTAAGATAAAAATAATATTTATTTATTTTTCCACTATCTACCTCCCATTTTATTAAGTATTCCTTCAGCAATTCCACCAACTGCGTTACCTGCTTGTGCTCCCATCGCTGGATTACCTGCTTTAGTACCTAATACCCCACCTATGATAGTTCCTGCCGTTTTCGCTACTGGTGCCAAAAAGTTTGCAACGGGTTTAATAATCTTTTTATAAACCCAACCCGCAGCTTTCTTAATTCCATCCCATAATTTTTTAAAGAATCCTGCCGCCATTTCTGATTTAATATTAATTAAAAAAATATATTTCATCACTTATATTCTAATTTTTATTTAATGATAAATGAAACAGAGGAGGAAGAAATAAATGAAAATGTTCAACAAAAAATAAACGTTGTTAAATCAATTACTGAAATAAAAATTTTTTCATCTGTTGAAGAATTTAATGACTATTATGCTAATAATAAAAAATTATTTGAAGAATTGACAACGTGTAAATTGAATAAAATGTTTAAAGTTGATGGATTCAAAATTTCAAAAATAAAAGGAGTGGTTAGTTTGAAATCTATTCCTCAATCAAGAATCACCTCATTAATGAAAATTGATGATTTAACAAAAAGAATAGAAGAGATTGAAGAAAGAATGAATCAAATAATTGATTTCATAAATTCAAATAATCATTAGTTTCTTAAAGTTCAATGTTGAACTCATCAAATTCTTCTTCATCATTACCATTACCTTTAGCGAGTTTATTTACTCTTTCAACTTTATCTTTTGATAGTCTTTCGTTTAATTTTTTCTGAAGTTTTTCGTTACCAAGTTCTAAAATTTTACACGGATGATATTTAAACCCGTTAAATTCTTTTTCCTCAGTTTTAATCATTAATCTACAAAGAACTTTAGTGAGGTGGTTTTGTTGTTTAAACCATTTATCCTTAATATTTGTTATAAATTCAATATCCGGAATTAAGGATACCCTTACATTGCGTAGTTAGAAAGAGAATATGATATTGTCATGATTGCTAAAGTTTTAGGCTCCAGAAATGAATATACATCAAACTGAAACAATTGATAAATTGAATGAACTTTTGAGAGGTTCTCAAATAAAAAAAATTATCTAATTTTTTACAATATTACTATTATTTTATCCACATATGTATATATAGTAATTTGAGAAAACTTTTAGGAAAAAATAAGTTTAATAAAAATCTGAATTTTACTTGTTGTGGGATTGTTATTAATTGACACTCCAGACGTATTACTAATAGTTATGCGTATGCAATTAAGGTATTTCTGATGGACAAAATGTGAGATTTATATCAGATAATTCATTTCTACTATTAAGTTATTCATTTATGAGTTTGCACTTATTCGCACTAAATAAATAACTATTAAAAATTGTTTTAATTAATTGACACCATATAATAGAGTGAATTTTGTTTGATCAAACAACAATAGATGATAGATATAAAGCCAAGAAACTTGCTATTAATATGCTCTACTTGCTATTTCAATGTAAGTATGATATTTTCTAAATGTTTCGTTCAGATAACTTAGATATATTAGTCAAAATTTGAAATTTTAATAGCACATATATTAAAAATAATTATTATTCATAAAAGATTAATGAAATAGTAAAAAAATCAATCAAATTATAAAAATACAACATTTAGAAGAATTCTTATTATCCTTCAAAAAGTCAGTATTTCTGCTGTAATTTTCTACAACATTGTAGTTATTGCACTTTGTCTATGGATTTGTATATATGTTATATATAAATTATATATCTAAACTGCCCATAAGTGCAATTTTTATATAATTTGTTTATTTCTTTAACAATTTCATATGAAATATGCTTTTTTAAGCGTATCAAAGCTGTGTTCTTAATGTGCATGGATATATCAAGAAAAATGTCGAAAAAAAATGTGAATTCACAAATTCACTGAATTTTCACCGTTTTTTGAATTTTGCTACAGCACTAATATTAAATAATACTAAAAATCTTCTGTCTTTGTAAAAGAATAAATTCTGACAAAAAGTGCTCGTTTAAATTTAATGATCATCTGTATGACTAAGTGGTAAAAAGTGTTTATGACCAAAAAAGGGTTACATGCTTAGTCTATTTTTCTGACAGGATACTCTAGATTTACATGATCTCTATTTCATATCTCCGTTTTTAGATTCTTCGACAGATTTTATGATAGAAAACCAAGATTAACAAATTTCCGGCATGTTAATGAAGAAATCTGCCGCTACCCTCAATATTATTTCAATAATCAGTATCGTTTCTCTTACAATTTATTTTTTTCTCAATAATTTAACAAGAAATAACAATACACATTTGGTTTTACGTATAAAAGCTAAGTGTCGAACTTAATCAACTTTACTTACTTAGCAAATGAATATTTTTGTGGTTGCGAGTTCTGAATGCTGAAGTTTTAGATTTCTCTATAAATGATATCATTGCACTTACAATGTTGTTCCAGCCTATCGCATAAATCATAGAAAATCCAAAAAAAAAAAATAATATAAAGAAAATTCATGTCATGAAGTTCAAAAATACCGTGTAACATTAAAATTTGTTATGCATAATACATTTTAGCTATTATTGATTTTTTTTTAATTTTCGAGAAATTGAATGGTGAGTCCGATAGAGAAATTTTTAAAAATCCTAGTGCCTCATAGAAGTAATTTCCCTCGTCTCCCATACTTCCAAATGTATGCATATGACATAAACTTTTATGCATTACACAAGTGGCCAATAAGATCTATAGAGTAAAAAATTAGAAATTTAATTTTTTTATATGATAGTTATATTTCAGATTTGCGAGCGTAACTTTTTTCTCCATGGCATACTTGTTTTAAGAGCAAATGATCAAAATCGTCCTTCAATTATTGAAGGAGCTGATATCTTTTGAAAATTGAATTGAAAGGGTATTCAATTTTCAAATTTCCTCTCAATTTTGGAAACATATCAACTCTATGAATTAACAATTATGTGCCTTCACAGTTTATCAGTCATATAAGGTGCTTATAAAGAAAAAAGTTACGCTCGCAAAATATGTTTTTATATAGATTTCACATAAAATAATTATGTAATTTCTAAAAAGAATATTTTTGTTCTTGAATATTAAAGTATATTGTAGTTTAAAAAGTTTTAAATATGTTGCTAAAATTTCAGGTTTATAGCTCATGTCTAGCATGACTTCTTCGTATGCGCAAAAAATCTGACACGTAAGGGTATCCTTAATTCCCAAATTTTTGAATTTTTGATTAATTTACCATCAAATGCAAAAGCAATAGGTTTAATATTAAACTTACCTTTATAAAATAAACTTTGTACGCAATCATCAAAATAAACGTCTACTTGTTTAACCTGGGTGAGAATTGGTGAAAGTTTATCCATTAATTGATTCACAGTCACGAATTTTGATTCACTCATTTCTTACGAATTAAAAAAATAAATTATTCAAAAATGTAAGACATGAATTTTTAAAGTTTATTTTTTATTCATGAAAATAATTATTTCTAATTTCTTTTACTCTCTCGTATATACTAGATTTAAAGAATTCAGAACAATTCCCATAATCTCCTAAATGTTTTCTTATCTTATTGGTTTTCCATTCATTATATGAAACTGTATAAACTTTATCTTTATCTTTGCATCTTTCATCACTTCCAATATATTTATATTTCAATTTTGATTTATTGGTTTCATATTCATTAACGTTTAATAATTCACAGTCTTCCTTTTTAAATATATGTTTTATGTATTCAGGATTAACAATTCTATAATATTGCTTCCCTTTAAATCTTTGAATATAAACAGGAACACCATCCTCTAAAATTCGATAATCTATTTTATCTGGTTTTACTTGTTGGGTCATTTATGTAAGAATAAAAAAATAAATTATTTTAAAAATAACTTTAATTTTTTAATGGTTTATAAATAAATATATTTTTATTTTTTATTTCATTATGTATGGGCTGAGTGTAAATGTCTTACAATTTTGAAAATTTTTTAAATCTTGATTTATTCAAAAACGTAAGAATAAAAACCGTAAGAATCATACATTTTTTACTTCATATGTTAAAAAATGATACAAAATCGCTCGATATTGTATGAATTCTTACGTTTACAAAAAAAGTCACAAAACCCATCATATCCTACTACTATAAAATCAAATTATGGAAAATAATGTTTTCGTGGTAAATTAATTAATAATCAAATAAAACGAGAGTAAATTTGTGTCAAAACTGTTTGTATTTCGAATTATTTGGATGGAGGGAAAATTTTCTTTGCAAAATCTTGTACAATCTTGATATACTCTTGTTTATGATCATGATATAGCATAACATGATCGGAATCTTCCCAAAACTTTGCTTCTACATTAGCTCCTGCTTTTCTTGCATTTTCTATGTATCTAACTACATCTTCATGCTTTATAATGTAATCTTTAGTTGATGATAAGCTTAACTGTGGGCATGTTGGAGGATTTGCGTAAGCAGAACTAATTTTATATTGAGCTCTCGCGTTATGATTCTTTGATAGATTCAAAAATAGATTAAATGGTGGAATTAATACTGCAGACAATGCATTTGCCAAAAATGGTGACTTAGGGAAAATTGATTTTGCAAATGCTTTATGATAGATGTTTTTAGGCGATGTTCCTGGTGATGAATCCCATACTATAGCTTTAACGTTGATATTTGGCTTGTAGTGAATGCAATCTGGTTCCATTAATGAATCGAGAAAAGATGAAGCGCCGTTTAATGAAAATATATGGCACAAAACATCTCTATTTTTGGCAGCTTCGTACATTTCTTCAAATTTTTTATGGTCATCTTTGAGATTTAAAATGGACATATAAGATTGAACCATTGACTTGTATTCTAATCCTATTCCATTGTAAATTTTCTTAAACGAGTTCATATGGTATGGTTTTGCACCTAACCAACCAAATGCTAACACTAAGGGTTTACGAGATGCGATCATTGACACTTTTCCCAAAAAATTTTGTTCAAAATTTTGATAAAATCTCATGTTGGTGTGATGGTATCCTTATGTGTTTATTAGTTTCTATATTAAAGTCAATGTAGTGATCCTAATAGAGAGGAACTGCTTCGGCAACAAAGATATCAATAAAAATATTGCCCATTATGCTCGGAATGCGGAGCGTAGTAATAGTATGTATAGACTTATAAAATGGCTTGGGTTATTCTCGCGATATCTTATCAGATATTAAAATATTTATAAAATGCTTACAAATGAAGTAATTTTATTGTGTTATGAAATTTAGGTGAAAATATCGCTCAAGAAAAGCAAAATTCGATGTTAAGAAAGTAAATTTTTATTATTTAGGTTGCTTTAAGGAATTCTTTTTGAGGAAACACTTTTTTCGTTTTTCTTCTATGTTTGCTTTTAAAATATACATCTATTATGATTTGAGATAAAAAAAAAATTGGGAATATGATAAATAAATCGTTAGATCTTTGATTCTATTAATCATTCATTCTTACGATAGTAATAATAGCTGTATATGATAGTTGGATTATTGTTAATTTGCGCTTTATGTTTATAAGTTTCAGTAGCTAATTATAATATGTTCGAGTATATTAGAATTCAATGATACGTAGTGTAATTAGAGGTAAACAATTGATATTAAATGATTGATGAAAATTGATATCAATATTGAAAATGGTCGCCTCGTTTTTGACTGAAATCTATTGCTTTGGACATTGGGATTAAAGTTGCCTTTGGTTATTTTTTCCAAATTTTTTTGATTTTGAAAAATGCCTCAGCAACTTCTTAGAAAATACTTATGTTTTTATAATTTTCGAAATATTTTTGAAAAAATGAGGTTAAAAAACTTGAAGATAAAAAATTAATAGGGAAATAAAGAAATTTTCTTGTATTCTAAATCGACAGATGCTTTTTGTTTTAGTTATTCTATAATATTTTTCATAAAATAAGTCAATTATATAACAAAATAGCATAATAATTTTTAAATGTTTTTAAAAAAACACGTTTCTTTCCAATAGTTTAATCGATTCATAGTTCCCTATGATGTGCAACTACAAAACCATTTTTGTGGATAAGACCCAAATTTGAAGTAGATTTTAACATAAAAGAAGAATTGAATATTGTCATATATACACCCTAGTAGCTTGATCTATACTCATGCATATAGTAAAAGCTATTAATCTAGAAGTCTGATCAATATGTAAGAAAAGAACATTTTTATAAAAAAAAATGCGAATGAAAAAGATGCAACGAATTCGTAGACCATCCAAGTTTACGTATTTTGTTATTCTTATAGGTCTTCTTGTTCAACCTCTAAAGTTTCTATTCCCAACAGAAATTAGGGCAGCTATCACTTATAAACCATCGATTTTCTTCGGATTTGTCTCGACAGGAAATCCAAAGCGCGTTAATTTTGTTTATAACAATTGGCTTCATAAGCTTCAACCCCCACATAACTATGCATTTATATCAAAGAACCCAAATAAATCAAAATTAAATTTCATTTTGCCATACCATAAATATATTGTATATGCTGGTAATTCCAGCAGCTGGCCACAACAAAATATCGATCGTGCAGCCAAAAGAATGACCGGTTTAGAATATTTTCTTTATAATACGACTAATGATTACTACTGGTCACTTACAGATGATGTACCTATTGACATTGACAATATGGAACATATTCTTAAGCATTTGCAGCAAAATTATCTACCTTTGAACGAATCTGTTTTTATTGGCCACAGTCTACAAGGATGGTTTATTCAAGGTGGCACAGGATTCTTGCTATCAAGATACGGAGCAAAGTTGATTATAGATCATGGCGTAGATTGGGTGAAAAATATTACAGTCGAAGATGATAAAGCAACACTTGAATTCAGACCATGGTTAGGAGTTTCTAAGAGAGATACTTACTCAAGCCTTATGTTTGGCGAAGAACCGTATGCTTTCAACCATTCTGAATTTTGGAATGATAAATTACCAAAATGTAAGAGAAATCATCCAAAAAGATGCAGTGAAAATTATAAGATAACAGATCTTCACGCCCTTCATACTCGTTTCATGGACGCAGCTGTTGCAATGGAGAATTTGAAACAAGCAAAGAAAATAGCAACAGATCTATACTTCTATTATTGTTACATGGACTTATACCTCTGTAAAGGTGAACCATATAATAGGGAATTCGATTGCCCTGTAAGAAGACTTTACGTCTAATTTTATATTATTGTTTTTTTAGTTATAAAGATATTCTTTCCTTAAATTATCTGTTCAGTAGCATTTTCTTGATATTGTAGAATGAATTTTAGTAAAGATATAGCCAGGTTTAACAGGGGAAAAGAATTTCTACTATTTCTTTGCAATTATTCGAGTTTTCTATATTAAAAGGTATATTCTTATCTTCATTTTTAGCATTGATGTCAACATCAATTGAAATACGGATTTCTACTGCTTCTGAGCAATTGCAGTGGGTTGCTATATAAAGAGGGGTACATCCATATTTAAATTTAGCATTACAGATGTTTAATATTGTTCCCGACTGTTATATGAAGAGGAGTACATCCGTCTTCTTTTTTTAACATTGAGATTATAATAGAACTATAAATTAAAAAAAAAATTTGAAATTCAAAATTAAATTTTATGAATTCAAACAAAATATTATGTAATTGGTTTCGAATTGTGTTGGATTATGGTAAGTATTTGTTGAGTACTTAAATAGTTCAATACAAAAAAAAAATCTTCGGAATTTGGATGATTTTTGGTTTTGTAGTTGTAACAGCGATAAAACAAGAAATGTGTAATGTTTTCTAAGTAATATTATGAAAAGCAATTTAAATATGCACGTTTTGGAAATCAATTCGATTTTTTTTTGTGAAATATTTCAAGTTAAAGCTTTCTCTAGAAGGTATTTTTGTTTCTGATTAGTATGATCTGATTCAGTGGTTGTTAATATAAAATAAAATTACCAACCATACATTTGCCTAGAATTAACTCTGGCGCGTGTAATATGCTTTGCCATTGCTTCAGCCTCTCCTCGGGAAGCAATATCTATTGCGGAAAGATAAGTAAGTTGAGATTTGTATCTTTGTCTACCAACACCATTAAAAACACTTTTATCTCGGATAATCATGTTTTCTGTTGCAAGTTGTTGGTTCATTTGATGATAAATTTCGGCATTTACTTCAATGATTTCATCTGTTTTTGTATATTGACTTTGAACTTCTGTTCCAAGTGTTGGTTGAATTACTTTGACTGGTTCGGGAGGAGCTGGCATTTTAACTCTATTTTTTGGCAATGGTAGGGCAAATTCGTTTTTATTTGAATTATCAATGGGAGTAAACACTTCTTGACTGGTAAGTGGCTTTGATGGATCGAAATCTTCAAATCCTTCAAATTCATTTCCATCTGAATCATATGAAATTATCATAAATGTGTAATTTTGTCACTTTTATGTTGATATTTCCAAATTGCTTCCATGTCTTATAACTGTTTTATCTATCACAAAGTATGAAGAATATGTAGAATCCTCAAAATACCAGTGGAATCCTCGTGATATGTCTTTCAATAATGAACTTTATTCAATTTTTTTATTTTCTGTAGCCGATCATAGTTTTAATGAGCGGATATAGTTCACATTTTTATGCGCATTTAAAAAAAGATATGTTATGCAATGCTAAATTTATCAATAGTTATTAGATTATTTTTGAAATTTGATGAAGGCTATAGAGATAAAATAACATACTAATAATAAAAATGTCGAAGACAACACAATTTTCATACATAAACTTATAATAGGTTAAGTTGAAGCGCGATATTGACAAATATTCCAACAATTGAGATCCCAATAAATGTGTTGTGAAATCTTAATATAATTAAAGGAAAGAATAAATTTATTATTCAAAAATAGTTAGGAAGTATCTCTTATGAGGTGTCTGGAGAATGTAATTCATTAATTTAGCGAAATAAACAGAGTCATTAATTGGGGCGACATCGAGATTTCCTCTATAGAAGTTAAAACATTAAAATTTTGAATAAACAATAATAATAAAAAAAATTTATAAAAATTCTAAAAAAAAAAGAAATAGATTCTAATGTTTGCTTATTCTATAGCTATTCTGGAGACCACCATGAGGAATTATATATTCTCTTTCCACGAGTTTGTTCAAGCATTTCTCGATATCTTCCCTTGGAGGATCAAATTTCGGTCTTAAAACATTGTAAACTGCTTCAACTATCTCATCAACTGTTGCAGATCTCCTTGATTTGAGGAATTTGTAGGTAGCTGCCTCAATTTGGTCGTTACAGTTGTTGAAATGAACACTTTCAACAGTTCTCTTGGGAATCTCTGTTGATTCATCCTGTAGACCAATTGTGTCCTTTGGTGGGCCAAGGAAAACGAAGCTATCTCCCTTTTGTTCGATGATCTTTGAATCAATAAGAGATTTCATGGCAACTTTGAGGTCGCTGTCGAAACTTGAGTCGGAATCATTACTCTTCAGCTGGTCCTTGAGCTCTTGGAATGTTATTCCGCCTTGTTCAAGTATCAAATGGACAATACAAGCGTGAAGAAGTCCGAGAACGAAGGTTGTAGTGCCATTTGAGAATTCTATGCTGGAACAGTTATCTGTGGGATTGATTACTTTGAACTTGGAATCAAAATCTGATTGAGCCAAGGCAGTTTTGAACAAATAATCGAAAAATTTCGGAAGTGTGTAGTTAATCTTCTTCAAAACACTCCAATTAAATGTATTAAGGATAAATATGTTGACTTCCGTACCGTTAATATTGGCAGACATACGCGGAGGGTTTCCAAAATCATCAAGTATCTTTCCGATGTCTTCTAGGTTGACCCCATTATCTTTAAAGAATGTATACAATTGGTTCTCTTTTTCTACGGTGGTCGTGTTGCTTAAAAGACGACGTGTAAGATATCTTGCGTATTGATCTGAAAAATTACCATCGTTGTCAAGGAATTTGCATAGAGGAGCAATTGTTTGGAGTGGCTCTTGGTTCTGGTCATGGTATGTGCACAATTTATCGGAAAATTGTTGTTCATCAAGATATCTAACAAAAGATGACTTGATTTCTTGGGATAATGTGCCACCAAATGATTCTTGGTTTAAGACGCATGCGTCGTTATAAGCTTTTGATGTAAATTCGCAAAAATCTGGGAATGAAGACTCAGGGAATGATTCAAGAAGATTTTTAAGGTATTCTTTGAACGAATTAGCAAATTTCTTGAACCATTCTTTTCTGCCGATCTGGATTACTTTGAATAAAGTACCAATAGTATTTGTCTCAATTGCTTCTTTAATTGATTGCGTAGCTGTGATTCTTTCTAATTCGTTATCAGTAACTAATGCGTTAAATAACTCTCGGAGGTGTTGTTTTGTAAATGGAGGTAATGATGTATCAATTCCTTCATAAATTCGCATGTAAGTTGAATAAATGAGGTTAATTTCGTCCATTGTATTTTGTGTTTCGCTAAATGATATTGATTGAAGATAAAATTTCAATTCAGTTTGGAAAGTAGTACTAAAGACTTTAACATAGAGATCAATAGATACTCTATTGATATAAAGAGATATTTTTGTCAATTCTTTCGGAATTGGAACGTTATTTCTAAGGAAAGACGAGAAAATTTCAGTTACGCATTTTTGCAATGAAACAATTGTTGCTTCATTATAAAAGTATTTCGACAATATTTGGGCAGTAGCTAGTGCTGCAATTGTTTCATTCTCTTTATCGCCAAGTGTAGAATCATAATAAGTGAAAAAACTCATCAATATTTCGACATTCCTACGATAAGTTTCTAGCTTATTATAAAATATTTGTAAATCCGTATCACCTTCTGTGGGAACTTGAGTCAATTCGTCAATAATATGCATAATTGATGGTTTTAAGTCAACTTTTTGCTCGATTGCATTCCAAATTGCCATATAAACTTCATCAAATGATGATGTTGTCGGACTTTTAATAAAATTCATGATGAGATCTATAATTTCTTGATTCATTCCCCAAAAAAAGTGTCAAAATCATTAAATGAATAATGCTTATAATTTTAACATATACATTATCCACATTGCAAACACATAAAAAATCAACTTGGATTTTCCATTCCAACAATTACATTCAATTGAATTTCCTGGACATTGCATCTAGCAAGGTGTGGTATTGTTGATATGCTTACTTATATAATTTTTTCATATATATCTGATATATTTAATATGGTTCCGAATATGAAGAAAAATCTCTTATAAGAATCATACATCAAGAATTTATAATTGCATCATATGATAGAAAATGTTCATCGATTTCTTCTCTTTTACAAAGTGCTGTAATATGAAGAGTACTTCTTCCATTTTCATCTTTTTCAACAATGATTTCACCACATGATGTAAAAAGTTCGACTATTTCTTTTCTATTATTATATGCTGAAGTATGAATAGCAGTATCTATATTTTCATATTTTTGGCTATTCCTGGGTTATCTAATACTTATTGAGAATCACCAATTATTTTATTTTTTATTGACTAATTGGGAAGCAAAGCTAGATTTAATGTAGCATACCCATTCGAATACACAGGTGTTCCACAAGTATTTCATGCATTTCCTGGTATATTCAAAATTCAATTATGGAGTGGAAGTGGAATATCTTATATGGAGCCTATGGTGAATAGTTGTTCCATAGTAACTGGAAAAGGAGCATACGTTTCTGGAATAATTAAAATTAATCAAGTTTTTGATTTTTATGTTTATGTTGGCGAAAAGGGAAAATTAAATGGTGCCACTTTTAATGGTAATTCGCAACAAAATGAAATCTCTGGAGGCGGAGCCACTGATATTCGGCTAATTAATAAAACAAAATGGTATGAATTCGACTCATTGAAGAGTAGAATCATGGTTGCTGCAGGTGCTGGGTCCGGAGAACGACTTTGTGGTGGAGATGGAGGAATGCTGGTTGGCTTAATCACCAATCAGATCTATACCTATCAATTAAATGGTTCAACTGGCGGAACTCAAACATCAGGAGGTATTTATGGATGTGATACTTATCATCATGGGTGTGGAAAATCAGGGATGTTTGGAATCGGAGGATCTGGTAATGGTGGAAGAGATAATGGTCCAAGTGGTGGTGGAGGCTATTATGGAGGTGGTGGTACTCCATGGGCAGGAAGTGCTGGTGGAGGATCAAGTTTTATTAGTGGTTATCAAGGATGCGACGCAATTTTCGAAAATTCTACAGAAAGTCATATATATCACAGCGGAAATCCTTTCCATTACTCAGGTAAGTACTTCACCGATGGCATTATGATTGATGGTCAACACGAGATGCCAACAACAGACATGACGTCAACCGAGCTTGGACACGACGGCAATGGTTATGCCATCATCACATATATTTCATCTAATGTTATTTGTTCATGTCAAATGAACATTTATCTCATGAAATACTTTTTAATTTCAAACTATTTCATTATTTTATCATAAAATCCTAAACATCAACACTATTATACAAAACAAGTCTTTCATTACAATATATATATATATCACTTTTTAAAATATGAAAAAAATCTTATTTACCATATTAGGTAAATCTGGAAACTATCTGACTATTCCAAAAACTATTTAATGATTAGTATTTAAAACAATTATAATTATTTTTGTTTCTTGAAAAATTAGCTGAATAAGGGGCTAACAGAATCAAACGTGTCAATGTTTGAATCGTGTTACATTATAGAGACGATATCCCTTTTTGAAGATTTTAAATTTATCTTTGTTTTCTGAATTCGATCACAGCATCAATATACTAATGCCCAAAAATCCTATTGTCTTAACATCATTAAATGTACGCTCACAGTCATATGTTTCCTTTCATGATCAAATCAATATAATTATGACATATCGCGAAATTTAATTTTAAATGATAAAATTCGTTTTAAAATATGAAATTTGTTTTGCAAACTCTTTTCAACACAGAAAATCAAGTGAATTATAACATTCCCTCCTTTAACAAGATTAAATTAAAATTAAAATCTAAATGGTAAGAGCAAAGCATCATGACATTGCATATGCATACAATTTCACAGGTTCCCCACAAGTATTTCATGCATATCCAGGATTATTCAGAATCCAATTATGGGGTGCAAGCGGAGTTGTATTAAGTGATACTGTAGACGATAGTTGTTCTAAAGTTAAATCAAAAGGCGCGTATGTTTCAGGAATAATTGAAATTCAAGAAAAAATTGATTTTTTTGTTTATGTGGGAGAAAAAGGAAAATTTAATGACAATTCATTTAACGGTAATATTCAATCTTATGTGTCTGGAGGCGGGGCCACTGATATTAGACTAATAAAAAAAGTCAATTGGTATGATTTTGATTCTTTGCAGAGTCGAATCATGGTTGCCGCAGGTGCAGGGTCCGGAGAACGTCTTTGTGGCGGTGATGGTGGTAGTTTAGTTGGGCTATCAACTGATCAATTGTATTCAGATGTGACTAATGCTCAATTCAACGGAACCACTGGAGGAACGCAGCAATCAGGAGGTAGGTTTGGATGTGATGTTACATATCAATCATGCGGAGAGTCAGGAAGATTTGGTATTCGAGGTTCTGGGAACAGTCAATATGATAGCGGGCCAAGTGGGGGAGGGGGCTATTATGGTGGCGGTGGCATTCCATGGGCAGGAAGCGCAAGTGGTGGATCAAGTTTTATTAGTGGTTATCAAGGATGCGATGCAATTTTCGAAAATTCTACAGAAGATCAAATATTACACAGCGGAAAACCGCTACATTATTCGGGAAAGTTCTTTGTTGATGCAGTAATGATTGATGGGCAAAGTAAAATTCCTTCACCTGATCTCAAATCTTTCGAAATAGGCCATACAGGAAATGGGTATGCTTTAATTACAAATCTTGCCTCACATGTAGTATGTTCATGTCAAATAAGTAGTTATCAAATGAATTTCTTTTTAATAACAAACTTTTATATTTTATTGAATCCTGTAAACATGCTTGGTTTATGGTCTTTTTAAAATGTTCAGTGTTTCAAGAAATATTAGTACATTAGGCAGCTTTCTCCATAATTTAAAGAATTTCTGCCGTGCTGATGTTGTTTATTGTACAGTAAATGGTTGGTACTACTTAATAAACATCTGTAGATTTAATTTTATCCCAATTATTTCCGATTTCCTTTGAATGTCAACTTCAGATTATTAATAGGTCTATTTATCTTATCATCTTCTCTATTTCAATTCTTCGTCATTATTCATACAAATACAGTCACGATTTTTACTTTCAATTATCATAGGAAATGTACTTGATAGCCACTTAAAAATAATGTGTGTTACAAAATCGAACTTTTGCCCACTAAAGAATGACGCCATTGCACAGTTAGCCTAAAACCAAATCTCAGGTTTATGATTTAATAAGAAACTAATGAAATGATCGATAATTTTCGCTATTTAATTAATTGGTTCATAAAAGCCCATACAATGTAACATTCGAATATACTGGTGCTCCACAAGTATTCCATGCGTTTCCGGGTATATTCAAAATTCAATTATGGGGTGCAAGCGGGATATTGTTTAATGATCCAGCAGAAAATGCTTGTTCTAATGTTAGAGGAAGAGGTGCATATGTTTCAGGAATAATTAAAATTAATCAGGTTTTTGATTTTTATGTCTATGTTGGTGAAAAGGGAAAAATGGATGGTGCCACTTTTAATGGTAATTCACAACAAAATCAAATTGCCGGAGGAGGTGCTACTGATATTAGATTGATAAAAAAAGACAATTGGTATGATGTTGATTCATTGAAGAGCCGAATCATTGTTGCAGCAGGTGCAGGGTCAGGCGAACGATTTTGTGGCGGTGATGGTGGTAGCTTGGTTGGACTATCAACAGAACAATTATACATTGATCAATATTTTTCGCAATCCAATCGCACAACCGGAGGAACTCAAACATCGGGTGGCATTTATGGATGCTATCAAAATTACAAAGTTTGTGGAACTTCAGGAAGATTTGGTGTTGGTGGATCTGGGAATTATAATGCTGATAATGGTCCAAGTGGCGGTGGAGGCTATTATGGAGGTGGTGGTACTCCATGGGCAGGAAGTGCCGGTGGAGGATCAAGTTTTATTAGTGGTTATCAAGGATGTGACGCAATTTTCGAGAATTCTACAGAAAGTCATATATATCACAGCGGAAATCCTTTCCATTACTCAGGTAAGTACTTCACCGATGGCATTATGATTGATGGTCAACACGAGATGCCAACAACAGACATGACGTCAACCGAGCTTGGACACGACGGCAATGGTTATGCCATCATCACATATATTTCATCTAATGTTATTTGTTCATGTCAAATGAACATTTATCTCATGAAATACTTTTTAATTTCAAACTATTTCATTATTTTATCATAAAATCCTAAACATCAACACTATTATACAAAACAAGTCTTTCATTATAATATAGATATCATATTTTACTATAGTAAAATTACTGAAAAGATTACAGCAACCTCAATGATTCACTATTCAATTCTGTGCATATGGATACTAACTGATCAATAGTTTAAGTTATATAAATACTAAATGATCAATTCTTCAAGCAATTTGTGTGCGCTCTCAATTTCGATCAAATTGAGATGCCTCTCAAAGTTGAAAAGATATGATTTCGGATCATAAAAGTCTTAAAACACAATTATATATAGAATTATTGTAAATTTTTATTAAAAATGAATCATCTTTATTCATGTTTGGTACTCAATGAGTGATCCATGGAATATGAATCAAATGATATTAGATGACAGATTTACCATACTAATAGTAGTTGATTGGTGTGATAATAAAATTACTTTTAGTTAAAGTTTCATTAAATTTTTTGTCCTGAAAATAGATTGCGTCATTTAAAATCTAGTGATCCGTCTTTTTGATTAGTTTTATGGAATTGGGTGCAAAATGGAACTATTTTTTTGGATTTTATATTTTAAATTCGATATGGAATGCATAATTGAACCAGAAAAAGCAATATAACGTAACTTATACATACAATTATACTGGAGCACCACAAGTATTTCATGCATTTCCAGGAAAATTTAAAGTTCAATTATGGGGAGCGAGTGGCGCTCTAGTATATGACCCAATAACCAATGGATGCTCTAAAGTAAGAGGAAGAGGTGCATATGTTTCGGGAACGATTCGAATTTCTGAAGTTATTGACTTATTTGTTTTTGTTGGAGAAAAAGGTCAATATGATGCAGGTGGATTTAACAGCAATTCGCAAGAAAGCAAAACTTCAGGAGGCGGAGCAACTGATATCAGACTTATTAGCACAACAAATTGGTATGATTTTATATCATTGAAGAGTAGAATCATGGTTGCAGCAGGTGCAGGGTCCGGAGAACGACTATGTGGTGGAGATGGTGGAATGATGGATGGCTTTTCAACTGATCAAATGTATCCAAGAGAAGATTTTATTCCATCAAGCCATTCCACTGGAGGAACACAAATATCAGGAGGTTTTGGTGGATGCCATAACAATTACCAAGCCTGCGGATCATCTGGGAGGTTTGGTGTTGGAGGATCTGGAAATAATGCTCATGATAATGGACCAAGTGGCGGTGGAGGGTATTATGGTGGTGGTGGTATTGCGTATGCTGGAAGTGCAAGTGGAGGATCAAGTTTTGTGAGCGGATATAATGAATGTGATGCAATTTTCGAAAATTCTACAGAAAGTCATATATATCACAGCGGAAATCCTTTCCATTACTCAGGTAAGTACTTCACCGATGGCATTATGATTGATGGTCAACACGAGATGCCAACAACAGACATGACGTCAACCGAGCTTGGACACGACGGCAATGGTTATGCCATCATCACATATATTTCATCTAATGTTATTTGTTCATGTCAAATGAACATTTATCTCATGAAATACTTTTTAATTTCAAACTATTTCATTATTTTATCATAAAATCCTAAACATCAACACTATTATACAAAACAAGTCTTTCATTATAATATAGATATAATATTTTATAATATGCTGCAGACTTGGCAATTATGGGTTTTCCAACAACAACAACAAAAAAAAAACAAAAAAAACTTTACCTTTTGCAACAATGGTTGAGAGATATTAACCAAATAAATCAAGAAATTATTTTCCTGCAATTGATAATAAATATTCTCTTATTGCTCCTTTCGAATAATAAAGTGTTGTATATCCATGATTATCCTTTGCGTCTTTATTAGCTCCAACTGAGATAAGATATTGAACAACTTCAAGTTTACCATTCCAACATGCCTCAATGAGTGGAGTATGTCCATCATATTTCTTTGCTTCTTTATTAGCTCCAGCTGAAATAAGATATTTAACAACTTCAAGTCTACCATTCATTGATGCCAGAATGAGTGGAGTATATCCATTATTATCCTTGGCTTCTTTATCAGCTCCAGCTGAAATAAGATATTGAACAACTTCAAGATGACCAAGTATTGATGCCTGAATGAGTGGAGTATATCCATTATGATCCTTTGCTTCTTTGTTAGCTCCAACTGAAACAAGGTATTTAACAACTTCAAGTTTACCTTTTTCTGATGCCCAGGATAGAGCTGTACCACCACCACGTTTGCTGTTGATTTCTTTGTCACAGCCACATTCAATGAGAGATTTAACAAGTCTCAGATTTCCTTGTGAAGATGCATAATGAAGTACATTTTTACCATCAAAATCATTTTGTTTTTTCCAAAGTTCTTCGTCACATGCTTTTTGCATCATTTTTTGATTTCCTTTTTCTGAAATTTCTTCAAAGAATTTGTAGATTTGATAGAAATTTTTGGAATTTTTAAGTTCGGAAATTTTCGAAAGAAATTCTTTTGGTAAATCGTTTCCTTCTTTCGCTTTGGGTTGAGAGTGAAGAGTTTGCATCTCTTTCTCAATGTTTTCTTTTTCTTTTTGGATCTGATTTAAATCTGCTTGAAGTTTTTCGATTTTATTTGTTGTACTGGATTGATCCTTTTGTAATTGTTCTAAAACGCCAATAATTCCTTCGAGGATTCGCATCTTCATGTACTTTTGAACTGATTTAAGTGTTGAAATGGCATCTCGTATGTTGTTTATTGAAATATTTGCATTTCGAGTGCCGGTATACAATTTACGTGCTGAGATAACGGAATGAGATTGCGTAAGAAAAGAATTGAAGTCATCAGGTGTTAGATTCGCGAATTTCATAATTGATCCGATATCTTCCACTTCAAATGTGCTGAAGAGTTTATCCTCTCTAATATAATTTTTGATATGTGAGCCAATATATTCGTAGTCCAGTACAATTTCCTGACTCATTAAAATTTGTAATGTTTTTTTTTTACTCGTGAATGTTTATTCATTATGAGGAAAGCAATGTTATTCACCTTTAGATTTAATACTTTTTACATCATGAATAAAATTAGCAACAATTCTTATCATTTTCGAGAATTTTTTTCGATATCAATGAAAAGCATAGTTTCATCATGCGTCCTTAATCTGGCAAATCCAATGTCATCATGTATATACATCTTGATATGAACTCAGACAACTAGTGGCTGAGGAAATTGACTTTGTGAATTTTTTTGATTTATATCGTTGTTTTATGTCTGGGTTCATTATCGACATCCAAGGAATCATCTTCAAGGGAGATGAATTCATCCCAGAAGCAAAACAGTTTATGGATCACTTAAATTCAGAGAAAAAACAAGTATATTTGCTTTCAAATTCCACAAGAATTACCACAAAGCAAACAATAAATCAGCTCAAATCTGCAGGTATTGAAATTCAAGATTCTAACGTAATTACTGGCTCAAAGATTATTGTTAATGCAATGAAACAAGAAAATATCAAACATATTTTATTACTTGGCACAGATGATTTATGCAATGAAGTCGCTGAATCGGGAATTGCTGTTGATAAAGGAAATTCACTTGGATCAGCTCATGCCGAAGCTTATAAACTTAATGATAAAGTTGAAGCTGTTGTTGTTGCCGAAGACCTCTCTTTTAACTTCGTACATGCATCAATTGTTGCTCGCTATGTTTTGGAAAAGAAAGTTAAGTTCTTTTGCGTTGGATATGATCAAGTTTTCCCATCTAAAGGAGATAACTTCGTTCCTGGTGCTCTTACATTGGCTACTCCTTCATAAACAGCCTCATACGTATCTCCAACAATAATTGGAAAGCCAAACACTTCTTCATTTATTAATTTGATTCCAAATCATGAAACAGAGAAATATATAGTTGTTGGTGATAACACTGAAACAGACATTGCCTTTGCCAATAAACTTGGCTGGAAATCTGTTTTGGTTTACACAGGAGTTACAAAACAAAAGGATGAAATCAAACCAGAGAACAAGCCTACATTATCTGTTGAGAACCTATCCGAATTATTGCAAAAACTATCTACTTTATAAATTTATTCCTATCAATTCTAAATAAAATTGTTTATTTTATCAAATAAAACTGCAATTCAATGAAAGTTTACTGTATTTGTATGTGCTACTCTATAATTATTAATTTTGAATAAATCAAAAAAATATTTGACAATTTGAATGTTTACAATAGGTTGGGGTTGAAAACTTTACATGTGTCAGATCTTCTTGGATTTTGTTCGCTCAATTTTTTGGAGATGATTTCTACAGCAGATGAAACCCCAATTTATGCTGAACTTGGATTGGGACCAAATCCAAGCAAAATGGATATGGCAACTAAGGTTCTCAAGAAAAGTTATCACACTTTTCAAAATACAGCGTTAGAATTTTCATTAGTTTACTCAGGATGCTTAATTATCAATGATCTTGTTGATAAAAAGCCTATTCAATGGCGTAATAACATTGTTACAGCTACAACTTACAGTTTAAACATCGCTACTTCATTAGCTTTAGCAGAAATTATTAATGACTCCATTGCATTACATAGAGGTGAACGTAAAATTTATGATTCAATCATTGCATCTACAATCTCTGGTGGAATTGTTGAAATTCCACATGGCGCAAGTGCTGTATATCGTGGCGCAGTTAGTGGTGCACTCTGGTCATCAGCCATGGCTGGAATGCAGTACGTTTTTTCAAAGTTTTTAAGTGATAAACCAGATTCAGAAAATAAATAAGCTATTGGCTAACGAATTATAGAGTATCACATACTATATCATTGTTGTATTAAACTAGTAAATACGAACTTGCTTTGATATTGCATTATAAAAAATCATATTTAATTTTTCGAATATTTTTTAAAAATGAACAGAGATTAATATAGATTAAGCGAATAATGTAATAATGTTATGTGAATTTTATATTAAAAGTGTAAATTAAATTTCCTGAATAAAAAAATCTTGAATCTATAAAAAATAAGTATAAACAAATAATTGTTACTAAATATGTTTCATTACTGTTAATTTCGATGTCTATTATCCATTTTTTTGAATGTTTCCAGTAGCACAATATGAAACTCATGAAAATGCTTTGCCCAGACTTTTAGCAATAGGTAATTTTACTAAAAATGGGCAATGTTATGCAAGTGCAACTACGACAAGACGAATTAGTGTTTTTGATTCAACTTTATCACCAGAACAAGCTAAATCTTTCGTTAATGCTGGACAAAAAATCACATGTATGGCATCAGTACGAATTAAAGATCAAGATTGTTTAGTAATTGGAACAGATAATTCTCTTCAAGTTTTTAATGTCGATCAAAACTCTCAAGTTTTTTCTAATTTATTAACAGATGGCGTATACTCAGTTTCTATCGATTCAAATATTATTTATGCGGGCGGAAATACCGAAATTTACGGATATGATTATAATGGAGAAGAAACATTTTGGACAGTCACAGGAGATATAGTATCTGCTATGTGTATCGCTGAAATTGGTGGTGTTAAATCTTTACTAGCTGCATCTAACGATCTCAAAATTGTTCAATTTTCTGGGGGAGAATCAAAAAGAGAGATACGAATTCATCATAAATGCATCATAATGAAAACTATAGAACCAGAGAAGTTTGTTGCCGCTTTTGAAAACGGCTCTGTTGCGCTATACGATAAAATGCAGAAAATCTGGAACTATGCAACGCAAAACGAGATTGTTGGCATGGACCTCATAGATTTTTCTGGTCGTAAGACTAAAGATGTCATACTTGCATGCTCAGAAGGTGATCTTTCTTTCCTAGATATCTCAAATGGCCAAGTTACTAAGCAGGAAACGATGGATTTCAGATTGGCAGCACTAGGACTTGTTGATTTCAAGGGAGATGGTCGTAATTTCCTTGTTGTTTGCGGTTCCAACGGTTCAATCAGAGTATTTATGCCAAAAGGAGCCGAAGGACTTGGCCAAGAAGCCAAACAAGCCTTCGACCTTCGTCAAGCCCAGCCAAAGTACATCCAGGAGAAAGCTGGGCTTCTAATGCGAAGAAATGAACTCCAAGGTCAAATTACAACTCCAGATACAACAAAAGTACCGAATGGACCACCTCCTGGCATGAAAGGATCCTATGTATTAGGTAAAAACCTCGATGAGCAGTGCATTGAGCTCAAAATCAAGACAGAACCTCCAACACCAATCCAAGCAACTTTAGTTGAATGTCCAACAACTTCTGGCTCGAATTACATTGTTTTCGACATAAATAACCCGGCTCAGCCTGTCCATAAAATACTCCTCTGGCTTCCTACAGATGTAACAGGCCTCATGTGTGTCGAAGCATTCGTTTCCGGAGTTGTTTTGCCATTCAACTTCGAATTCCAAAAATTTTATGGTTTTGGCGAAGTCAAAAACGCGAAACCATCCGGATACGCGGAATTTACAGCGAAAGGGGATATCTTTGGCCAGTTTGTTTCTAAGAACTTCCTTTCCAAGAACGAGCCGAGTGGAGATTTCCGACTTTGCTTTGCTAGTGTCAGTGAGTTAGAACCATTAGTTCTTTCCATCAATGGAAACATCGCGAGAGTTGAATGCGATCGTGTGACAACAGCAGCAAGAATTTGCTCTGAGTTCTGTGATTTCTGTTCTCTAAAGGAGTTCAGCTGTACAGCTCATTTCCCTGATGATATCGAAGAACTCATGGCAAGTGTCCAACAAAGCGGAGATCTCGATGACACTAAAAATGTTCACAGAGCTGAAATTGCTGGATTGATTCAGAGTGTTAAAGATACAATTGTTAGAATAGAAAATGCTGAAATGGTTGAGCAATACAAGACACTACACAGCTCAGTTCTAGAATGCGAAAGACTTAACAGCGAATTATCTCGCGAACACACAAAAAGAATGACAAATAAGAACACAATTGGTTCAGGAAACCAAAAAGTAAATTCAATGATTCAATCATTTGCAGAACTTAGAAGAGGTAACGCACGAAATGTCTTGCTACAGTTAACAAGGAATGCATTGCAAAACAAAGAACATAACAAGTTACCTTACATTCTTGAGTTTGGCCATGATATTGTTTCCAAATAATTATTTAATTTTTTTTAATTGTATATTATTATATTAAATATTTTAGTTGTTATTTTATTATTTCAAACATAGGGCTGTACAAAATCGAGAAAAACATTGCCGTGCGGTAATATAGGGTCAAAAAAATCGCGCCTCGGCGGCTCCGCCGCCTCGGCACTATTAAGTGCGCATTATATTTAATATGTCCTTCTTTTTTTTCTTTTTTCTTCTTCTTCTTTTCCTTTCCTTCTTCCTCTCCTTCCTCTTCTTTCCTTCTCCTTCTCTTTTTACAACAACGTCGAAGATCTTCGAATTTGATTGTTGGAAAAGCATCTATTTCAGTTAAAGGATGCCTTTCTCACAGTCAACATACGAGGGTCCTGGCTGAAACGTTCTCAAAAAGCCTGAGATGGTAATTCTCTGATCACTCATAGCTGGGCAGGTAGTCATTGCTGACAATACTTGTCTTTATGCATGCACGCTTTCATGTATATGGGTTTACACTATCAATTCGCAAAGTTGTTCCGAATTCTTCCAAAATGGAAGGACTCGAAACAACTTTGCTTGTTAACGATACAGACGCATTACTTTGCATTGATACTGTGCTGAGTTGTGTAGAAAGTTTGATTAGAGTTGTTTTGTTCTGGTATCTCTCATCTTCTGATGAGAGAAATCAAAGCAACACAACTCTAATGAGTTTGTTTTCACTCATTTGTATGTAGGTTTTTAGTTCGATTGGAGCTGCTTCATAATGAGATCTCTCATCAATTGATGAGGGAGATCATAACAAAGCAGCTCTAATGTATATGCTCGTATTAACCGGGTTGTAATGCGTTGTAACGTCAGCTTGTAGTTCGTTTGGGGCCACTTCACATTGAGATGAGAAGAAATGATTAAAGGACTCTGAAAGGCTTTGGCCGTTGATGTTGTAATCGCATTACTTGGAACTAGTTGGATGCTAAACTGTGTAGAATGTTCGATTAGAGCTGTTTTGATATGATTTTTCTCATCATAAGATTGGAGAAATCATAGCAAAACAACTCTAATGGGTTTACCATCATCTACTTGTATGTAGATGTTTGGGAAATTGTCTTGTTAATCGATTTTCGAGATGACTTTCAAATGCTATAATCAAATGACAAACAAGTCTAAGATTTCTCGACAATACATCAAATCATGATGTTTGTAAGTGCGATGAGATTAGAGTTTTTGAAGGAATGACAAGAGAAGTAGGGAAGCTCGGCATTCGCCGAGCAAATTAAAAATTAACGTATGGATTAAATTTTAAGAGGAATTCAATTTTAATTACGGGTTGTTCAAATATTGATTAATATAAATTTATTAATAAGAATAAACAATTTTTGTTTTTGAATTTATTCAATTTATAGCTTTACATATAGTTTCAAAATTGTACAACTATGATTATTTCAACAAAAAATATCTTACTTTTTCACTTCACTTTCACCCTCACTTTTTCCGTAATTCAAATTTCAACATTATGTATTTTAATTCCTTATAGTATTTTTAACATAATTAATCAAATAATAATTGGAAGTTCTGAACTCACTTTTTCCGTAATTCAAAATCAAAAATATGAATAATATATCTATTTATTATATACTAATGCTATTTTCAACTAGAAGTGAGGTACGGTAATCTTACGGATTCCCGTAACTCAATTTTACGGAAAAAGTGCAGTAAACTACTCAATTTACGGAAAAAGTGTCGTAAACTATTGATGTGGCGGTAAAATCACGGTAATTCACGGAAAGCTATATGCGAAAATTTGAAATTATACAAAATCGAGCGAAACACTTTTAAATAGGTTGTTCTCGTATTTAAAATACTATTCCCAGATTTATTGTCGTCAGAATATTTCCAAATTTTTGCCGATTTACAAAAAATGATTTACAAAGCATATTTTTTAATCTAAAAAATTCCTAAAAAAAGGAACCGGTGTGCGGAAACCTCGGTAAATTACCGCGGTTCCCGTTGGGACTGCCATATTCAAACATCAATAAAGCTATTTTATTCATTTTCTAATCTCGATTTGAAATTCTAATTTTATAAAATTATGTTTTAATAGGTTTTCTAATGATAATAATTGTATTCTTGGCTTATTAAATGTTCACTCATCAATTCTTATCCCTTAATATTGTTTCCAATATGTATAATTGATACAGAAAAAATAAAACAAAATAGCTTATATAATTTGCTTTTTCCGACCAAGAAATCTTTGTTTTTATGCATTATAAGTATGCTAATTATATGAACAAGTTAATATGGAGACATATTGCTATAGGACATTTCATCACCAACATTTTTCATGATGAGATAGAAGCATATCAACAATCCATTGAATTGTGAATTCCCTCAAAATCGAGAATTCATAAAAATGATGTCTTTACTATGCATTTAAAACTAATAAAGATTTTGCACGTGGAGAATCAAATATCTGGAACTAAATAAGGTAGTATTAGAATCTAAAAGTCAACAAGAGGAAATTGAAAACAAAAAGCAAACAAAACTTTTATTACAAAAACAATTTATATAAATTAGAAATAACAAAGAGAACTAGTATATGCGTAAAACATTCTCTTTTTCTTGAAAGTATTGACCATGGTTGATCCAAATTGTTGTTCCTGGTCTGCAACAATCTGAACCATGTTTCCTCCATTGATAACTCCAATAACAATTCCGGATGTTCCAAATGGAATCAAACTGTAGCCATCAAGAACTGCAACATGGTCACCCATGTTAACTTTGCCTGTAATATTAAATGGTAGCAATTTACCTTCCAAAACTATATTATTTGGATGAGTTTGAACGGTTTGTCCAAAAGTGTCACTTTTTCCAAATTTTTCCATTTCCTCTTCCAACTTCTTGTAAGCGATTAATGGGGAAGTTGGGAGGTAGAGTGGCTTTATTTGGGCATGGAATGCTTGGCTATTCTCGGAAACCCATTCTGCAATCTTTTTGACTTCATTATCAGCCTCATCTCCGAATTTATCAAAATATAACTTCACATTCTCGGCAATATCATTTTTATCTGACGCTTTTACGACATTCATGAAATCAGCGCCTACAAATGATATGTATTTCTCAACAGTTTCTTGTACATCTGGAGTTAAAACAATTACGCCTTTTTTCTTCGATACGTAGCCTTCAGCACCTTTCTTTCCATTCTTGATGAACTTCAGACCGATATTTCGTCCGTATCTGTTAGAAGTAATCGAATCTAAAATAATTAAAAGAGAAGGCGTCGACAAATGAACGTTTTCGGCAACTTTGTCGATAGGTATCCATACCCCAGAGTCGCCAAGTAATATGTTCTTCAGATTACTGCTATATGAGCGATTAATCAGCTGAACAGTGATGTTTTTGTCTTCAATTGCCTTTACAACGCCTAGTTTTCCTTTACCTTCTCCACTTAATATGAAAACTTTGGAGTCTTTTTTAATTGAACTTTGAATTTCTTCTCGAATGTCATCGGAAATCGATGGGAAGAATGAGAACGGTGCTGTCTGTATAAAGGGGTATTTGTATTCCTTGTCAGACCAGCTGTAATTCGTGAGTTTGTAATTTGGAAAAGTTAATTTTCGACACTTGACACATAATCTGTGGGAATGAGATGGATTTATGAAGTCGCTGTCGTCAAACTTCTCTCCTTGTCTCGAAAGGAAGACATCTGTGACAATTGCAGGATTAAAATATGGAAAGTCAACTAAAATGACTTTTCCTTTTAATTCTTTGTATTTCTTGAGGTCTGTGGGCTCTGGCTTATTCAGCTCGCAGGAAATCTTTGTTTGTTCTGTAGAGTTGATGAAGCCTTTCTTTACAAGGGTAATTTTCAAGGGTAAATTTGTGAGAGAGGGGAAGTAGGAATTCACTTGAGTTGTTGATGGCAAAATATATTTCTTTTTGACATCAATGAGCTGTGGTTCCTTATTTGGAAGGATAAGGAATGGATCGCAAATAGTATTTCGGATTTTTTCTTCATCTGTCATTTCATTTTCTTTTTCCTGAATGATTTTCTTGACTTCTGCGAAATATTCACGAGTAAATGACCTAGCACTGCCTGACATGATATCGTAAACCGGAGATCCTGGCTCTGCAAGGAATTGTAAACAAGATGGAAGCAAATTTGCGGAATTTGCTGGTAAAAGTGATACTAATACTTCTAAAGACTTTGGCGGAGCACCTTGGGTGAAGTTTGGCTTGTATCCTTGGAGATATTTTGAAATAATTAACAACGGAGGGGCAGAAGAGTAAGGATAATACCACTCCCAGCTTAATATTCCCTTTGTATACAAGTTTAGAACCCAAACGAACGAATCCATGACATGATAAACTATTTCTTTGATTTTTTCATCGAAACCAGGTCCTTCTGGCAAAGCAAATTTGGCTTGGACATTCTTTTCTGCATAAGATAATAAATTTTGCTGTTTCGAAACTGATTTTTCTGCATCTCCAACATTATAAGCGACATCTCTGAGAAAATCAGAGAGATTGCTGTAATTGAATTCCCCATTCTCAACAATATACTTGCTTTTTGGTAAATATTGTGTGAAATATACTTCTAAAGCATTATTAAAATTATCAATATTAAAAAATGGAAAAGATGGTATAAAATCGTTACCTAGTAGAGATGATATTGCGCAGAAATCATCTGTAATGTTGTTGACCATATCTTCGTTAGAATTAAAGAATTCTGCAGCTAATAATTGTCGTAATATACTTAAATAAACGTAAATGAAGTCTCCAGCCCAAAAACGTACTGATGCAGAGTTATATTTCTTATCTGCTAACTTAAGATCACCAGAAGAGTCTTTAAGAATGGCAATTTTTTTCATATGAGTATTAAGTGCAATAAAGAAGATGTCAGCATCAGGGGAGTATATGCAGCATGAATAGTCTTCGTTCCATGTCCCTTGAGCCCTTTGGTATCGAATAAAATTGATTAATTTATGTTCTCCTTCTCCTGGTGTATGATATGAATCGTAAATGATATGAGGCATTGCCCATATTGGATCTCTATTGACTCTTTCCTTCAAATAGTCCAAAATTTTGAGGTGAAGGTCATTCATAAATTTTGTTCCAATTGTTATCGAATTTTTAGTAAATCCTTCTGCAACTTCTTTCTTTCCTTGGCCTGAGAATCTTCTTGAGCGTTGTTCAATGCATTTGGCAAGTGGTGCTGGTCCATCAACCGAAATGTAAAGTAATTTCGTTGGTTGGACAACATGGACTAATATATCTAAGAATCTGAGAACTTCTGTGATGAGTTCATCTTCAATAAGGTCCTTCGAACCCTGAATTGTTCGAATTGCGTTGTGAATTATGCAATTAAAGTCAACAAAAAAGCAATCAAATGATGGGGATATGCCAGAAGAAGCCCCCCTACAAATTGAAGGGTATCTTGAAATTAACCATTTAAAAAAACCAGCAACTCCCATTTATTTTTTTATATTTTTTGTTGACTCAAAATGAGATAACTTTCGTCCATAGAATTCTTATTCTATACTTGATGAAGTTGCATACACAATAAGCAGCAGCACAGAAAAAATATTTACAGTTCTAGCTACTGAAATCATCGCAGTCTTGAAAAATTAATAAACCATTGCTGTATATTTTCTGCTTACCCTTTCTTACAACATTAAAAGTTTCAGTTATATCGTATAATGGAATTGTCGTCCTACTTAATTGAGAGAAAAGCTTTGTATTAAGAATGGTATGAAGATCATGTATTAAAATTTGATTTGTGTATTCATGTAAAGAATTGTATTGTATAGTAGTGTTTATGTTTATGATTTTATGATAAAATAATGAAATAATTTGAAATTAAAAAGTATTTCATGAGATAAATGTTAATTTGGCATGAACAAATAGCATTGGAGACAATACAAGTGATTATGGCATAACCATTACCTTCGTGCCCAACTTCAATTGACTTCAAGTCGGTTGTTGGCATCTCATGTTGGCCATCAATCATTGTTGCATCAACAAAATACTTACCTGAGTAGTGGAAAGGCGTCCCGCTGTGATATATATGATTTTCTGTAGAATTTTCGGAAATTGCGTTGCATCCTTGATAACCACTAATAAAACTTGATCCACCACTAGCACTTCCTGCCATAGATGCTCCTCCACCACCATAATACCCTCCACCCCCACTTGAGCCATTATCAGCTTCTGTATTTCCAGATCCTCCAATTCCAAATCTTCCTGATGATGCGCATTTATGATGATATAGATCACACCCATAAATGCCACCAGATGTCTGTGTTCCGCCAGTTGTTCTATTTAATTGAAAATATTGTATCAGTTCATTTGATAATCCTTCTAACTTTCCTCCATCGCCACCACAAATTCGTTCGCCAGAACCTGCACCTGCAGCAACCATGATTCGACTCTTCAACGAATCAAAATCATACCAATTTACTTTTTTTATGAGTCTAATATCAGTAGCACCACCTCCGGCAATTTCATTTTGTTGTGAATTACCATTGAAAGTGGTTCCGTTTAGTTTTCCCTTTTCTCCAACATAGATATAAAAATCAAAACCTTGGTTAATTTTAATTAGACCTGAAACGTATGCACCTCGTCCTTTAGCATTAGAACAAGCATTATTGTCAGGCTCCAAATGCATTATCCCGCTTGCTCCCCATAATTGAATTTTGAATATACCAGGGAATGCATGAAATATTTGTGGGGTACCTGTATATTCAAATGAATATGTTACATTAAATCGACTTTTACTTTCCAATTAGTAAATATACAAAAAAAATATTAGTTGATTATAATTATCTTTGCTTCAGTCCAATTAATACTCTAACTTTTTACTAATAAGTGATCGAGCGCAAAACAAAGTTAATATATTTTTAATGATTTCAAAATAGAAATCTTTTTTGCTTGACATTATAACATTTGTAATATCTGGAATATATACACATTCGGCTTTTGGATTTAAAACTATCGGATTTTCATCATTGGAAAGAACAGTGGGCGATAGAATGATGATACAAATATAATTATAAAAATTTCAACCAAACAAAATAAGTTCATTGCTCAGTAAATAGAGTCCCTCTAAGCACTATTTAAGAGAACTCTTTGTATTATTCATTGGTCAGAAAAGAATATATTGTGCTTCTGTTGCTCAGATTCTGTTAATACGAGGAAAAATACAAAAATATACTTTATTTACATTAAAAAGAGATTTTCTCATATAAATATCATACTAATTGAATAGTCAGACCCAAATGATTGCCTTTTTGCTTATCATTATATGCAATTTAAGAAATAATTGCATTCATAGAAGAATTAAAGTACAAGAAAGCTTACCCTTCATATAAATTTCGTATTTGGATGACTTCTAATATATATTAACCTATTTGGATGAAATCAATTTAAATTATGAATTTTCAAAAGATTTAACCTGATTAAGGTATATGATAGTTTTCATTCATTGCGAATGCAAATGATTCGCAAGATCTTGACTATTATTATCAAGGCGATATTATTGGGTTTATTTGAGTGGGGAAAATTGTATTAATTTAGTAATATTTTGTAAAAACGTATCATGTAGAATCAAAAAAGGTATTTACTTGGCCTGAGCTTCGCGGATACGCTTGTAGGCAGCACGAGCTGTGAGAGCAGCTGGTGTTGTTGGTGTGTAGGCACCACCAGCGACAGCCTTGCCGCACTTTGTGCATGTCCAGATGCCGACAGCATTGCGCTTAACGGCATCCTTGCCGCAGAATGCGCATGGGTACTTCTTGCGCTGTGAGATTTCGATCTTCTTGATTGTCTTACGGAGGGAAGCACCATAGCGGACGCCATACTTACCACAGATACCTACTTTCTTTGTTCTGCGAGCCATTGTAAAAAAGGATGGCCGCTCCAAAAGTGACAAAAATTGTGGGGATTCCGATTATTTTTGGTCCTAGACTTGAGCTCTTTGATAAAATTAAAAATCCTTTAAAACAATACATTAAAATATCTTACAAGAATACCCACATTTTATGAACTTATTTTCTCTTTATCTTCATTTTTCTTCGTTGAAATTCGAATTTTCAAGTTGAAAAAGTGACAAAATTATTTCAATGAATCAAGAAATGATGACGAATGAAAAAATTATTACATTTGATATAGCTATTGATGGATCAATCCATGATGTTCAAGGCGAACTAGAAGGAGTAGTAATTGATCCACTTCTTATCCATAGATTGATGGATAACGCTCAGAAAGCTTTAATTGATGAAGAAGTAGTAACAATTTCAGTCACAACAAAGCAATATTTGCTTAGAATCACTGCAAATGGAGCTAAATATTCTTGCATTGTTAAAATGAACAGATAAAACTCAAATCAACTATCGGACTTATCTACTGTATTATTAAATAAATCGTATTACTTTCATTTAATTTTAAATTTCTTTTTTATCTGACGTATATTTTCACGATTTCATAAAGAAACTATAAAATCATAAAAACTCATCTTACCCCATGCAAATATATAGTAATTTCTTAATGATTGATTCTATAAAATTTGATAAAATTTTTTGTTTAAGTTTTTTGATAGTTATAAATCAAATGGATGTTTCTGTGGAGAGGAAAAAAATAATTTAAGTAAAATTATATATAAAAAATCATAAATTTTTTTAGGAAACCAATATAATTTTTTTCTAAACAAAAATAAAGCTGATACAACATATATTATAAAAATAAAAAATGAGAAACTTACAAACTCATTTCGAATTTGTCAATAGACGTATCGATGTTCCATTGGTTGAAGAAAATAACAAAAGGATCGTTTTCCTGTCCGCAAGCCTTTGGACCGATGCATTCCTGTAACAAAGTGGTAAGATTCTGTTCTCTTGTGGAAAGATTTTGGAATCTGAGTGGTTCCAAGTGGGGTAACTGCGAATGATCAGCTCCATCTCTAAGAAGGAGAGGAATTGAGGACATTCTGCGGAGTTTTGTGATACTTTCTTCGTTCATTACAAGTTCAGGTGTTGATTCTAACTTGTACTTCTCTTCAAACTGCTTCTTGAGGGTACCGAACTCCTTAAGAAGTCTTTCGCGGCTCTGTAATGGTATTTTCGTGAGGATTCTTCGGATATCTGGAGCTGGCCAAAGCGAAAACTCAACATCTGATGTAATGATGGTCTTCAAACAGTGGAGAAGCTTTTCAGCGTTATTAGCACATGTAGAATTGAAGGCCAAAGCCTTTGTTCCGCTTGAAATTAATCTTTCGATATTTTCAAGACCTTGGTCGCCAATACCGTGGCCGGAAATATCAATACTGACCACAGTACCTCTCGAAATTAATGCATCGAGGACGTCGTTGTACTCAGTACCGAAAGAAAATGAAGATTGTCCGGCCATGACAAACCGCTCAAGAGGAAGTTCACGGACGATACGTAAAACCTGATCTATGTTCGTCGGCTTGTTAAGAATGCAATCAGAGATTGACAAATCGAAAACTGATTTTTGTTTGGTCAAGAAGTCCACGAAATGAGGCAATGACTGATTGGTGACCTTATTTGAGTCCCAAACAAGTGTCTGAATACCTTTAAATTCGATGGAATCAATCATAGGGTACAAAATATCAGATTCGGCCATTGTCATCTTAAGAGCGGACAGATCGAGGTTCTTTATATGGTGGTTTCCGCCTTGTATTGATAGCAACAGTGATTCAAGATTCTTGGCAGAAGTTGTAATTTCGGATAAATCAAGGACTGTAATGTCCTGGAAAGTAGGTATTGGCTTGGAAATCGGCTTGGAAAGTCCACATCCTGACAGCGATAGCTCTTGAAGGCCGGATTCGAACATCATAAAGGCAGGAATGAGTAATTCGAGATGCAAAGGAATTTGTTGGCAAACGAACTTGCGCAGTGACTTCTTCTTGAGGACCCAGTCGCAATTCATCAGCTGGATTGAGAACATCTGTACGGATTCTGCCAAATTTATCTTCTTAATTGTAAGGTTTGTAAGGGTTCTGAAGCATGGAGCATCGAAAATTGAGTAGAATATGGATTCGAACGATGATGGGATGAATTCGCAGCGATCAATGGTGAATGAGTTGATTTGGGCTTTCATCTTCGCAAATTCGTAGAAAAAGTCTTTGAACCGGGGGTTGGTAAGGTCGCAACTTGTAAAAGTGATCGATTTGATGGGAGCATTGACTTCTTTTTCGAAAAATCCTGGAGGTGTTGACAAATTTGTTTCTAAAAATGAAGTACGATAGAATGAGATTGAATTAATTGATGTGGATAACTTTAATATTGTTGATAAATGTGGGAAGAAGCTGATGAATGACAAATCTTTCAAAACAATGGATTTGTAAAGAGTATTGCCACGTAACGCTGATGCAAGAGCTGGCATAAGTGAAGAAGCAGCGAGAGATGGTGTAATTGTCATGACATCATCTTGGGTTTCGAGATTTTTACAGATAGCGCTGATTTGATCAAGTTGTACAGGAACATTTAATGCTAAGCATTCGGAAATAAATCTATCAATAATGGTTAATTCTTGATTGATGTCTAATTGAAGTTCCATGACTATTGATTTCAATTGAGTTGAAGCTTTTAATATAGAGGTTCCTGTCATGCTGGTATTGAGCTGGTCAATAAGAGCGGCCATGTAATTGATCTTTTCATGCTCAACAACAATGTTGGTGTCGTCAGATTTGAATTCGATAAAATCTGTTGTTAGAGTTATAGATTTCATCCTAGACAAAGACATTTGTCGAGATAATTTGTAACCTGATGGGAATTTCTTCTTAACAAGTAAGAAAAGGCCAATAGTTGTGATGACGAGATAACGCGGCTGAACATCGCCATGCGTGTTAATTTTACCTACATTACCATGCCACATAACCTTTACACCCTGGGCTTTCATAAGTGGGTGAATTTGGGCAAGTTGTTCTTCATTCATATTTGAGGAATTTTTCAGAGGATTTTTATCGGCGTCATCGACATTCTATGTTTATGAGGGGACTTTTTTGAGAATGATGATGACTATATAGTGTATAACATTTTTAACTCAAATTTTACAAAATCGTCGTTGGAAGCATCAATAATCTTCCACCAAAGTTTACAAAAAGAAAATCATGAATTCTCTCAAATATAGCTTCATGATTTACATATTAAGACTATTGCGAGATAGTAGCAATCATTCACATGGTACCCGCAGGTTATTATCAAGTTTTATGGTTCTTTACAATGGCTTCATTAGGTGGTTAAAATGTAAACTATTGAAAATTGAAATGTTTACGCTATAATACTACGAAAATGATTTGCAAAATGCATAATATATTTGTTTACTAAACCCTTTATTATAGAACCTTTTGCAATATAAAACAATAGATTCTTTCCATTGAACAAATCTGCAGACCAGTTTCTATATGATAATCATGCAGCAGAAGCTGATAGACCAGAAGTTATATAAATGTGATATTTTATTAGAATAGATCTTGCGTTATTGTATGTTTTCAAAATATATCGAGAATTTTTCCTAAGATGCTCATTTTACGAGATAAAATAATATACCATCTACTAGACATTTGTGTGTTTCTTCCAATATGTAGCTAGTAACTACAGAAATTGTAGTTTCGGAAAATTTGAATAAATTTGGAATCCTAAGAAAGAACACAATTTAGATATCGAATTAATAAGTTGTGGAAAAATCAAGAATCTTGAATCATTATTAGTTTATTACGATCAAACTGATGATGTTGACACCTGCTTTGTTTATTCAACGTTTTTTGGTATATTATCACTTTGCGAATATTTTCTTTCACATGGTGCAAAAATTAATGCAAAGGGTATAGATGGTGAAAGAGCTCTACTTATTGCATCATATTATAATTATAAAGATATATTCGAATTTCTTATTTCGCACGGTGCAAATATCAATATAACAGATGATTATAAAAGAACCGCTCTTCATAGAGCAGCACATAATAATAATTCAGAATTAGTCAAGCGTCTAATTTCCCTCGGTGCAAAAATCAATGCAATAGATTTTTTTGGAGAATCAGCCCTTCATGTAGCTGCACATCTCGGTGCAAGAGAAACAGTCAAACTTCTAATTTCGCACGGTGCAAACATCAATGCAAAAAACATAGATGGAGAAACACCTCTTGATTTTACAGATAATGGCGAATATGACGAAATAGTCAAACGTCTAGTTTCACTCGGTACAAAAGCATAAGATAAGATGATTCTCTTTCCTATATGTTCAAAGATCAACTAGCTAAGTTTTTCCCTAAAAATGATTTTTTACTATCAATCTTTTTTTTTTATCAATTACTTTTTTATATAATCAAAAGTTAGTTTATATGATTTTTTATTTGTAAGAAAATAGTATACAAGAGACGATGGTAAATATACATTTTCCAAGGAAATTGGCAATATTAAAAATTTTGGAATTACAAGCATTATTTATTTTTGATGCTTATTCCAAGATTTTTCCTTTTTACTTTAAAAGATTTGAATATTTTGGATTATTATTATAGTTTATTTTTATTGACATATTTCATGATATTCATATAATTTGTTTTAAAAAATGAATGAGAATATATTTATTTAAAAAAATAGAAAAGATATTAGGATAGATTTTTATTTGAGCGCGTTTAAAAGGTTCTACTTTAAGAACTTTACGTAGTTAGCTTTTGCAAGCAACGTAAAACAACTTTGTTCAAGTTATTTGTTGCAATTCACGGGATTGATTGCGATTTTTTATGTCACTTTTGAGCATAGTTGCGCCCGTAACTAAAATAGCAAAATTTTGAAATAGAAAAGTGACTGAATTAACGTGCATCAAGATTTTCCTCAAAAAAATAGATGGCGTTTGTAAATTTGCTTACAGAAAAAACACGCGAGCGTCCTCTATTTACCGTCAAGGTTGAAATGGATATTATCCAATCATTCTTGGAGGAAGTTTGCTTAAAATTAGATAATTTAGCAAACAGAATGACGAAAGCTGAAGAAGATATTACAGGCAAAGCAACATTTCAAGATGTCAAAGACTTTAAGCAAGATGTTAGCGATAAAGTCGATCAAATTATCCTTCAATGTAAACAAACAGATGATAAAGTAAATGGAATGGACACATTACTCCAAGAAAACTACAAAAATATGCAAGAGAAATTCGATTCTGCAACAAGTAATTGTTTAATCGAGTCAGGAAATTTAGTTAGATCTACAGTTGAATCTTTGGAGCCAGAACTCATCAAAAATGTCATAGCTGGTATGCCAAACTTAGATTCATTACTACAAAGAATAGATGCTAACGATAAATCAATTAACGAACTAAATGAAAAATCTGTTTTATTAACGAATGCCGACAGTAACCTACAAGCGCAAGTTGATGCCTTGTTTAAAGTATCCCAGAAACAAGGTAATGAACCTTCAACAACCGAATTACACGCAGAATTACAACGTGTTACTTCAAACTTATCTTTTCAGAAGTCTGCAGCATCAGCTGCTACATCTCAAGAAACCTTTGACCTTCGTGAAGATTTTCAGTTACAATTTAACCAAATTAACGACAAATTAAAGAAAATGAACGAAGAAATAGAAGACACACGCAATTACACGAACAAACAAATAAGTGCCGTACAAGAATTACTTTCGCCTCAAATTCGAGAATTAGATAATCAGATAAATGACTTAAGAACTGACATGTCTAATAAAACAAGAGATATTCCTTCATCCAGACAAGTTGATTTACCACCAGATCTAATGGATAAGATCAACAAATTAGGTGGAGAAATTACAAAACTTAATGACGACATTATTTCAATGAAAGAGAGGCTAAATGATAATACCTCAGCTCTAAAGATTCTTAGTGAGAACTTTACAAACCCTCCGGCTGCTGTTTCCGCTCCAGCGAATATTGAAATCAAAGATGACGGTTCTTTCGATGCAACAGGACTTACAAACAGTGTACAGTTCTTAACCAATAACTTTAGAGTACTTGCAAGCCGATTGGATGTCCTTGAGTCCAAGAAATACGTAACTCCTGAAACATTAACGGCAACAAGAGAAATTGCCAACAAATGTGTCGACAGATTAAACGCATTGGACACTACAATAGCTGAAATGAAAGGAGAACTGCTTTCAAAGGTAGATTCAGATTTAATGCAGTTACGCGATGATACTTCCAAAGATATCAGAGATGTAAAGGAAGCTGCTAATACTAGTAGAGAGATTGCAACGATCGCTTCTCGAAATGGCGATGAAACTTTGAGATTATTGCAAAAAACTAGGACAGAAATGTCAGATATGAACACAAAGATTGCAGAACTCTCAATACCAAAGCCAAATCCAGCTGTTGAGAAGCTCAGTTCTACTGTTTCCGGCATCCAAACTTATATCAATAATATTAAAGACGTAATTGTGAAAGTCGGATCAGAAGCAGATGCAGCAAACACCAGGAGTAAGAGCAATGAGACTTCCGTCAACCAAATCATGACAAGAATCGATGAATTGACGAAAGAAATTTCCGAAAAAGAGAAAGAACTATCAATTCCAAAGGTAGAATTCGTCCAACAACGTAAAACAGTTGTCAGAGCACAAGCACCAGAGCCAGCACCTGTTTCGGACGATTCTCCTCGTAGGCCTGGTTCGGTTTTACTTCCAAAAATCGCCAGACAAACCGTTGACGATGGAAAACTCGATGCCGCTCTTGGAAAAGTCACAGCGCAAGATGGCATCATACAAGGCATGCGGAAACAGATTGACCAGCTCGTGAAAGGCTACCAGAACATTGACGACGTCAAAGCTGACAAACAGAGTTGCCAAGCTTTGTTTGAACAGTTCAGAGTCGCCATGGTCGAATTAAATTCACGACTGATGACTTTAAGAAGGTCAGTCATCGGAAAAGCTGATCTTTCCGAAGTTAAAAACATGCTGACACTTGCAACAACAGTACAGACCAAAGACACAGCTGGTGGTGTTGAGCCTGTTAGATGTATCTGTTGTGGAAGACCAGCAACAGGAGTTACAGGATCAATCAATGAATCTTTGGATAACAGAAAAACTCCTCCGATTTCAAGCAGAGCCATTTCTGATGCTGATGGACAAGTTTGCTTCGTTTATGGTGATAGAGGTGATATGTTTTATGGTAGATCTGGCGATGGTAGGTCTAGGTTTTCTGCAAAAACTGATGTAACTCTAAAAGAAACATCAAGTTCAAGAAAATAATATCTTATTATTTTTTTGTGTTTTTGTTTGCTATTTTTTTGTTTTCCGACTTATTAAATTTTTGGTTTTTAAAAACTTTGACGTGATTTAAAAAAACGCTCTTTACTATTGAGAAATGTTCCGTATATAATTTGGAAGGAAAATTTGAATTTTTTCGAATACAATAGCAAATCATTTTATCCTGGAATAAATGTAAACGTGCTTTTATGCTGTTCGGTTAAAAAATATTGTTATATTGGAAATTTGACTTTTGCTATATTGATAATTGAACAAAAAAAGATTAATACGACATAGTTGATCTTTTAATCTTTGAGACGACTCGTTATCGATCCGAAATATATAGTTTTTTTCAAGAAAAATTAATATTAAACTACCATGTAATATTTCGGAATTTATATATAAAATATCTTTATGGCAAAAAATGTCATTTATTAAATTCTTTTGTTTCATTTCGGATATTTTTTATTCAGAATTCAAGGGATTTATTTTCAGCATCAAGATGTAAATCAATTTCACAATTCTTGGTATGAGTTTTTCAAGGATAAACCAAAAAATTTGTACGTCTATAAACAAAAAGGACCTTTTAGTCAAAAAGAGAATTCATTTATCAAGTATTCAACATTTAAAAACTTGAAAAGCGTCTCAATATACATCGTAAATAATGATTTAAAAATAAATTGTTTGGTCGAAGATTGCATTTTTCGAAATAACAGTGATTCTGATAACATGTCATGCATACACATTATTACACAAGGCCATATTATCCAAAATCGAATTTGTTCAACAATTCACTCAAACCCACTCGTTTATCACTCTTTTACTAACACAACAGATAAAAGCGCCATTTACTTCCTCGCCATTGATGATTCTGATACATCTCATCCTAAATATTCACCTTTTCTTTTTGAATGTCATTCAACTGAAAGCAATTTTGAATCAATAAACATGACACACTTCAACTATGGATCATGTGGTATTTATTCAACATCTAAATATATTACCTTTTTAAAATCAATAAAAATTATTGATGGAAATCAAACAGATATAGTTTTAATTGAAATATCTCAATGCACATACATAGATTATTTACTTGTTAAAGGATATACATTTCGTACTAATTTAAATATGAGTAACGTCCAAAAGGCCTTTATTCAAGCTGTAACTAGTTGCCAATTCATAGCAGGTATGGATCTGACTATAAATTATTCCTATATAAAAGCTAAAGATATCGTATTATATTCAATCGAGAGTTTAACAATTGACAGTATAAAATGTGAAGCGGAAAATGATCAGTACCGTGATGGTACATCAATTCGAGGTTCAATTGACATAAGAGGCTCACCAAATTTTCCTGATGATGACTTGTTTGTTAATAATTATATTTGCAATGTAAAACTACAGAAATGCGAATGCAAAAATAAGCAAATTACAAGTAATATGATATTCAGAAGGCGCTAATAATAATTTAAGAATGAACTAAGGGTTTCGTTTTGCGAAAAAAACGTACAATACGCAATTTCGCTAAAAAAAACATTTAGCTAGCAATTTCGACCTTTGACTCCACTCAAGACGTCACTTTTTTAATTTTGCGGTATCATATTTTTGGAAAATCTTTATGAATATTATATAAAAAGTCTCTTTAATATCTATATTTCATATTTTTATCGATTTTTAAAGTTTTTGCGAAAAGTATTCAATTATTTTTGCTATTTGGTCGGGTAAATGTCAGATTTGCGACATTTTCTGATATGATATTCAGATTCTACGTTGATAATAATGCTTATAGAACCCTCTTGCTATTGTGTCAAAATTGCGAAACCGATAGCAAAAATATCTCGCAATATCAAAATTGAGATATTGAGTGAATTATGCATTATAGAGATTAAAAATCTGATTTGTGAAAACATCTCATCAGTTTCTAGCTAATTCAAAAATCTTTACTATCTTATTTGATTAAAATGAAAAGGGAATAGTTTCATTATGCTTTAAATGACAGCCTTATAATATAATCATAGTTTTCGCTCAATATGCAGCATTTTTTTTTCGAAATCTATGGTCAATGTCCTAAATACTGATTGCTTTGCATTCATATCTCTTACATTTTCTATACCCACATCACTATTCATTGCTATTCCTATCTTTTTCATTTTTGTTTGTTTCTCATAATTTCTCAAAAAACACGATAACTTGATATTTGTAAATATCATACTTTATAACGTAAATAAGAACTTGACCTATTAAGAAAAGCAGTAATGAAAAGAAAATCTGAAATTCATAAAAATTACAAGTTTCTGATGACAATTAGCTTAATTAAACCAGGTACAAGATTATATAATTGTATTTTCTATCCAATTATCCATATAATATCTTATCCAGAAAAAATAACTTGATCAATACCAAATGATTTTTTAACTAGTAAATAAAGTATTTTCTTTACACACACATTGTATATCATAGTTTTTTTTTGGTTTCGCAAAACATCCAAAAACAAATATGCTATAAAAGTGACAATTTTAGCAAAACGAAACCCTTAAATGAACGAAACATCAAAGTTCACTTAATTTAATTAAAAATTAAATTTACCAATTCAATATTTAAGGATAGGCATCCAACTCTTCCAGATAATATAAAATTTAGACTATATTTGTGTGTCTGAGTAAGATTTGAATGCTTGATACATTTATTGAACTCAAGGGATCTAGTATTTTATTACATATAGATATTTCAATGTTCTATTTTGCTAATACAATTTTGTGAACAACTCAATGAAAATTCAAATATACCCGATTCATAAGAAATCACTTGTACATGAATATCTAGAGATTCAATAGCTAAAAGATGAATTTCTTTGGTGTAATACGCCATTTGTCAGAAATTTTAAATTGGTAATCCATTCAAGAAAACTCGAAATAAATAAGCCCGAAATGTTGTAAACAGAAATTCATCAAAAGTGACACCTCAGAAAAGCTAAAATATTGAATTTTTGGAACTTTTGATAGAGCACGTTTTTAAATATTAATTAAAGTAAATGTATATTTTGTAAAGATTCTTTTTAATAAAAAAATAAAATTTTGAAGAAGAACACAAAATCTTCTGAAAAATAATATCACATAAACTCATATTATTTTCTAATATATAACTATTTTATATAAAAATCAAATTCAATGATCTTAAAAGCGAAGGATAAACCTCAAAATTTACGAATATAATGAGTGGGAATATAATGCTTATCTATCATAAAACCATATGAAATATCAATTTTTGCTTTACGCCTAATTTTTGACGACAATTAGCAAAAAATGTTAAATGTTAACACTCAGTCCATTTGAATATGAAAAATAAAATTGACTTTGATTAAATGTTTTTATTTATCATGCAATTCTTCTTGCGACCAAAGATTTGAATAAAACTTCAAAAAATAAGATAGCTTAAAAAATAATATACGGTAGTGTTTACTAATAGATAATGAATAGTATATAAATTCTATTAAAATGGATTTGATCCAAAAAAATATAAAACCAAAAATAATTGTTATAATTTAAATGAAGAAGTAATTTAAAACGATTTTATTTATGATCAAATTTTATATATTTTTTTGGATCAAATCCAATTTAATAGAATTTATATACTATTCATCTATTAGTAAACACTACCGTATATTATTTTTTAAGCTATCTTATTTTTTGAAGTTTTATTCAAATCTTTGGTCGCAAGAAGAATTGCATGATAAATAAAAACATTTAATCAAAGTCAATTTTATTTTTCATATTCAAATGGACTGAGTGTTAACATTTAACATTTTTTGCTAATTGTCGTCAAAAATTAGGCGTAAAGCAAAAATTGATATTTCATATGGTTTTATGATAGATAAGCATTATATTCCCACTCATTATATTCGTAAATTTTGAGGTTTATCCTTCGCTTTTAAGATCATTGAATTTGATTTTTATATAAAATAGTTATATATTAGAAAATAATATGAGTTTATGTGATATTATTTTTCAGAAGATTTCATTCTATATGCCTATGAAAAGTACTCTCAAAACTAACTTTTTCCTAATTATAATTAAATCTAGAATATTATATTATGCTTAGTATTATTTCATTTTTCTCATTCAATTTAGAATTTACAAATGTCAAAAAATTGAGAGCTGTCACTTTTGATGAATTTCTGTTTATTACAGTATTATCTTTCTTGTCACATTAATCATTGTTTTATTACATTCTCCTTATATTCATGATTACCCAATATGTTTTGCAATCAGAGGTAATTTTGAAGAAATTTTTGATTACTTATTGGAACACGGTGCGAAACCTAAATTATTTTTCTAATGCTATTCTATATTGAATGAAAATAGAACAGTATCCGCATTATTTAAGAATAAACATTTCATATTAATTAAATAATATTTCCACATATTAATAATTATCACAATGACATAGTTCTTATATTAGATCTAGCTTATCAGTATCCTGAATTATAAGTTGTTTTTATTTGATGAGATTGAATATTTAGTAAATTAGGTTAATTATGTTGTAAAAATATAAAAATTAGTATTAACATCTATTTTAACATATATCGATTTTTCCAAAATTTTTTCATTTTATGTATTTTATGATGAAAATAGTATTTTTATCATGGAAATTTTTAATTTTTGATTTTTTTTGGGTGTTGGCACTTTTTTATATATGGATGAGAATTTATTAGAACTTGAACATTACCTTCTATCATGTTTAAGCAATGATCAAGCGGAGATTAATGCTGCCACAGAGTATATCTCAAATATTATACAATCAGAAAATGCAAATTCTTTATTTTTTGGATTAATTTCAAATTCTGCAGAGCCAAATGCAATTCGACAAGCAGCAATTCAGCTTTCAAATATCATAAAAATGTCATGGGATAAATACACAATTGAAAATATCCATGATTTTGGGTCACAAATTATGAACTTCCTTAATTCGAGTAAATATGATGCAAAGACAAAGCAATTACTATCAAACGTATTAATACTTATTATCAATAATGTTAAAGAGCCTTGGCAAGAATTATTTGATTTTATCTCAAATCTTAATAACGAAGTAACAGATATTAGGCTTCAAATTGCCTTAAATTCAATCAGACTCTTTAACGAGAACGATATTTCTACATTAATTCCTATATTTCAAAATTCAATAAATTTTTCTTTTAATTCCGGCAAAATTGAGCTAATATTAAGTTCAATGCAACTACTAATTGAGTTACTAACCATAAATCCAGAAGGATTTGATCAAAATCTCCAAATAATTCCACAAATAATTCCAAATCTTGTTAATTCAAACGATACTGAACAATCAATATTCTTTTCATTACTGTCCAAGATCATTTCATTAGCTCCTGAAGTAGATGGAATTATAAAAACAATAATTCAATTTATTCAAACAGATTCAAGTTTTCCTGAAGTATCTATATATGCAATCAACTCATTATCATCATATTCTCATAATTTTACAGAAGAACAACTCGATTCTGTTCTAGAAATCCTTATTTTTCAAACAGTCAAATTATCTGAAACTTTGAACATTCTTCCAGAAGATTCATCAGATTTTATTGAATCACTGCTCAACGAATACCATCATAACGATGTCTATTCGATAATTAAAGCAAATTTACAAGAATGTTTGACATCAGAAAATTCTTTAGTAATTGCAACAGGAATTCTACTTCTTTCGCCTATTCTGAACTCAGCACCAGAAGTTATCGTTGGAGATGAGATGCAATTTGTGTTGGAATTGTTAAATCTCGCAATTTCTCCGGAAAATCCGATAGATGTTTGTAAGGCTGGCTGTAGATTGGTCGGATACGCATATTCAATTGATCCTTTGTGTCTCTACTTAATAAGATATACAGAATCAATCGTTTCTTTGATGATTTCGGAAGATATTGAATTATCTCACTTAGCAAGTCAAGCTTTGGACTGGATCTTTGACGTAAGACAGGTAGTCGATGAATCTGTCGTTCAATTTTTGTTCGATTCCAAAGAAAACGTCCAATTTAATTGTTTATCGAGGTATTTATTGACTTTTCATAAGGCAATCCTATCAGCGAACCATTTATCAGCTAATTTGATGCAGAGGGTCTTTGATTTTACTGTTGAAAACTTAAATCAAACTGGAAATTCGGAATTTGTTGGAATATCTTTGAATATATTCGCTTCTTTGCTATCGAAAGACGAGAATTATGCTTCTTATCTAGAAAACATAGTTCCTTTCGTTCAGCAATGCTTGGAAAGCGAAGAATTCGATTGTTTCAACGCATTGACATTTTTAGGAAAAATTTCAGAAATTTTGGGAGTTTGTGGAACAGAATTTTTAAGTTTGTTCATCGAGAAACTGGAAGATATCATTAAAAACAGGAAAATCTACAGAGCAATGAGATTTAGAGCTTCAATTAAAACTTTGTGCAAATTTATCAGATATTCAGAGATAAATGTCATAGAATTTACTCTGAAATGGCTCAAAAAGATGATAGTGTCACATATTGATCATGACATCAACGAAGGATTGTTGAATTTGAAGATTATTGTAAAATCTTTAGATGATCAAACGAAAAAGAGGTTTTACAAAATAGTTTTAAGCACTACGATGGAAACAGACTCCCAAGAGATCTTATCTTCGCGTCTTTTGGTTCTTCCTAAATTTATCAAATATCCTCCACAAAATTATCAAGAAAAGATGTTCCAAGAACTCTCAGATTTCTGTTACTCCTTTGTGGAAGGAAATTTGGAATGTTTGGGCGGAAAATCGTTTTTAAATGAAATGATTTTTGCTCCTTTGGTCCAAGACTTCGCAAACTTCGTTGCAGTGTTCTGTTCTAAGTCTAATATAAACTGCACTGAGATTGCAATGCTTTTTAGCCCTTTAATCGAGAAAAATGAAGAATTTTATTTATCTCTTCTGTTTTCTGTGTTTTCTGGAGTTCTAGAGAACGAAACAATCGATGAAAACTTCGCACAGGAGATATGTGACTACATTCCAGCCCTTTTTGAGAAATCTGTGACGATTAATTTGCAACATGACGCAATTTTCATGATGAACAAACTTTTAGTGCATTTCCCGCAACTTTATGATGATGCAAAGCCACTGATAGTCGAAAATGCCTTGAATTGGTTCAACAAAGCGAAATCTGAAAATTCAATTTTCGGAAAAATGCTTTCTAACGCTGCATCATTGTTTATACATGCAGCAACACTAGATAAAACAATTGACCAGCAGATTATTGATCAGTCTTTGTTGTTTTATCCTCCAGAAGATGAAACAGAATTTTCTGATTTCACAAATTATATTTTTCAACTTTTTGAAGTTTCTGAACTGAGTTTGGACTCAAAGAAGAACATAGCAACAGGTTTGTTTACAGTTATAACTGCTCAGAAGTATATGATGAGAAAATGGCATTTATCTGAAGAAAAATCCCAAATTTTGAATCAGATTTTACGAAATTTGTTGGAAGATGAAACCATTTTATCTCATATGAGAAGTATATTACAAAATGATCCATCTTCTTTACAGAAATTAGAAATTTTCCTTTCAAATTCAAATTGATTTTTTTTCTTTGTTTGTATATAGAGTAAACTATAATATTTTATGGTAATTCAGCTGAATGTACTATTACAAAGTTCAATTACTATCTTATATTTTTTCATATATTCATAGTTGTCTGTGAACGCCCCTCAAGCAAAAAATATAATAATCACAAGAACTCAATTAATTTTGCAAGATCATTCATATATTGATAACAGAAATTTAGTAAAGAACATTTCAAACTTGCGCCGTCCATAAATCAAGCTCGTAATTTTAATCACAGAGCTATAGGTATTACAGCTATCTATTCCTTAAAATCAGATTGATTTTTTTTATTTCTCCAACATTTGTGATGTAAAGTTTGATAATTCCGGAGAAGAACAAATACATTAAAATTATTTTTCTGATAGTATTGTTGCATGGAAAAAAAAAAAAAAAAAAAAAAAAAGGTAGTGGGGCTTCCAGGGGCTGCGCCCCTTCTAGCCCCTAAGAAATTTTGCCCAAGACCCAAGAGGAGGACCGAACCCCAGCCGACCAGCCGTTGACTTTTTTGTAGAGCACTCAAAATAGTATAACTTTGTCCGGACAAGTAAGGGTCTATCGTCGCTACAGGAAAAGTTACGGGCGTTCCAAGGAAGTATACTTTGAGAAGCCTTTTCTCCCTTATAGAATGAGATAGGACGGTTATTTTACAAAACTGACAACACTTTTGACCGGATAGTTTTTTGTGCTGAACAAAAAGTGTCATATAAACATCTGTCAAAAACCGTTTTTTACTTCACTTAAAATGCCACGTAAGCTACGTAAGAATATACGTAAGAGGAAGAGAGCATTGAAACATCCAATAGTAAAACTGACACCACAACAACAGTTGCAACAACAAATGATGAATGACCCCACTATGTTGCAACAAATGTCAAGCAACCCTATGCTTTTAAACCGAGTTATTGGTGCACAGAGTGGAGGTTTAAGAGCGGCACTTTTAGCGAAAATGGCAGGCTATGGTGGAGCTGCAGACGGAACAGCTTATAACCCTCAAAGTCAAATGAATTTGAGTTCACTCAAAAATCAAATAACAGATGTCAAAAAGTCAAACATAGACATACAGAAACAAATAAGTGAAAACGAAAAGAAACTAGAATATGACAGACACACAAAGAAACTCAATGAGTTAAACGTAGAGAAAAAGAAGAAAGAAGAACAACTGAAAGAACTAAGTACAGAGGAATATGCGAAAAAAGTGTCAGAAAAAGCAGCAGAAGTAGCAAAAATGGAACAAGATGTTATAAATTTGAAAACCCATACTACTCAATATAAAGTACTGAAAGATGAAGAAATAAAACAAAAAGCCCTGAAGACATATATGGATAGCGATGAGTATAAAAAAGAAGTTGAAGCAAATGTAAAGGCAGAAAAACTTTTACAGTTGCAAAACCAAACCGTACAGTATGAAAACTTAGCACAAGAAAGTAAAAATAACGACGCAGCCATGCAAAAGGCAATGAAAAGCGCAGAATATATAAAAGCTAATAATGACTGGTTAGATGCCCAAGCCAACGCTAAAGCAGCCCAACTTATAGGGTCAATAAGGACAAAAATACAAGCGGATGAAGACAGTTCAAATGAAGCTTTAATGAATGCTGACTTTAAGAACGCCTTCGAAGCTCTTCATAGTAAGGTGAAACTAGTGAACGACTTCTCATCTGGAAAGAAACTGAAGTCTGAAGGTTTCGACAACGAGTTAAGAGAAGTAGCACAAAATATGACGAAAATAACAGATGCAGCAACGAGACAGGCAGTTCAAAGTGCCTATGACGCCGTTAGAGCAACTGTTGTGGAAAGTCAAGAAAAAGAGTTACAACAGACCAAAACAGACCTAGTAAATGCTTTCTTAAGAACGAAAAGTCAGGTAGGACATTATGCTGCAGATGGAACATATGTGCCAGCTGGTGGAACTTATATACCAGCTGGTGGAACTTATATACCACCAAACCCTCCAAGAGAAGCACCTGCACCAGGACTACCTAAAACATTTACATCGTCACATGGACACAGACACAGGCATGCACCAAAACCAACACAGCAACCAACACAACAACCAACAGTTCAAAATCCAGCACCACAACCAACAGTTCAAAACCCTGCACCACAACCAACAGTTCAAAACACTGCACCACAACCAACAGTTCAAAACACTGCACAGCAACCAACAGTTCAAAACCCTGCACAACAACAACCACAAACAGAGCAAGGACATAAAAGAAGTAGAGAACAAGGAAACCAAGAATTCTTAAAAATGCTTAAGGAAAATTATGGTTACCCAGATACTCTTGACTTTAGTGACAGATATAAAGAAGCTATTAGAAAGTTCAAGGAAGGAAATACTGACCCGAACCTATTTAGCTTTATGGTTCAGCACCAAATGGGATATAATTTCAAACCTGGAAAATACAAGCTCGCTAAGGGATATGATTTAATAGCATATCATCCAAATGACATGACTGAATTTACTCCAAGATATTTGGTGTCAGAGCTAAACGATAATTCAACTCTCTTCATGAAACGCGTAAAAAATAGAGACGGAACGAAAGAAGAAAGGTTTATGAGTCCGGATGACTTAGATAGGGAACTTTTAAAAACGGTCTCGGAATATATGAAATGCCAGCAGATGAGGTACAAGAAACTCCACAGGAAGAAGTTCAGATACAACCAGACATGGAAGAAATAGTTCAGCAACAACAGCTAGAAGAGCCAGAAGGAAACGAACAAGTCCCTCCTTTGGAAACTAACTTCACAGAACTAGATGAAGATTTGGAACAGCCGAAAAATCTTGACCCTCAACAAGAGTATGCGGAGAATATGGAATCTTTCCAAGAGTCTAAGAAAAATTCGGCTGACATAGTAGAAGAATATCGAAAAATGTTCGCCGACATACAAAAGACTCCAACATCAGATGAAAATATCCAGCATAGAATGGAAGAACTGAAAGAAAGTGTACGCAAATACAACAATCCTTTTTACTTACGAGCATATAACGTTCAATCTTTGGATGAACTCGGTGAAAATAAAAGGTTAAATTTCAACAAAACATATAGAAATGAAACATTGTTTAAAGTTCATTCAGAACCTAGCCAATATGGAAACAAACCTACTTTTGTTTCTGCAGACGATGGAACTACAATGAGATGGGGTCATAAAGCTAATCCGGATAGGTGGTTCATAAACTTACAACCACAATTCCAAGAAGTTGTAGACGCAATGGAAGTGAATGGTGAACCAGATGTAGCTGGTATTTTCAGCGCGGCTTTAATGCCATTGAAAGATATGAAAGATGCAGATATTTTGAACCAGTATGAAATGAACATGGCTGATGGAAATATAACACCTGACGTTCTAGAACATTTATCTCAAAGAACTACACAGAACCATAGAGATGGTATATTTGGTGAAGAGTTTAGAAAGAAAGTTAGGGAGAGAGAAGGAAGAGAACCTATTGTACATGACCTTGCAAACGAAAGTTTACAAAATGTCATAAAAACTTACTTTGCAGACAATGAACCGAGAAGGGATGAATATTTAAGAAAACTCAAATGGACAGTACCAAATGAAATGTTAGTATTGAAAAACATGTTCCTTGACAAAATAAAACCAACCTACAGAAATAAATGACGCAAGACTGAAACATTGGGTAAAAGCTTTCCCATTCACAAAAGATATTATTGGTAACATGGAAAGAAAACCAGAATGGCTACAAAAACATATATTTGGAAACGAGCTTATTCCATATGGACAAGCTCTGTTTGAAGAGCTTGAACCGGAAACTCAGGAAAGAGTCATGCAAACAATACGCGAAGACTCAAATACAAACTATGACAAAATCTTTCTAGGATATAGGTTACCTGAGTTGGGCGACCAGAGCCCAAAGGCAAAAAGGACATGGGAAATTTACAACATACTAGGTGAACATGAGGCAAAGATGCAACGACTTGAAGCAGAGGGCAAGTTACCAAAAGCGACACCAAAGAAGAAGAGTAGAACAAAGTAAAGCTTGGTCCGAGTGGGTTCTATTATGATATATAAATCCAACTATTCTATATTTTTACCCATATGAAATGTACGCCGCTCAGAATATAACGCCAACAGTTTTGGATGCCATGAACGGAAATGTTTCCGAATGGTATAACGAATGCGACAATGCCATTAGAAGGTCAGAAATAGTTCCTGGAACTTACGAATATACAACTGCTGTTTCTTATGGAAACGTAGGTGAGTTTGGAGAAGGTTCTTCAACAACAGTAGATATTGCTTGCGACAGGTTTCATATTATTTCTATTGACAACTCATTCTTATACGTGGAACAAGACATTGAAATAAAACCTTCTGCCAAGTTGTCTGACAAGAAAGGTTGCAATGGAATTTTCTATGTCGGATACCAATATGCTCCAGAAGTTTTCATGGGATATAAGATATATTCTAACTCTGACTTAGTTCAAACAGTAACATGGGCAAACTATGAATGGTTCGCTTTGAGAAACTCAGTACAACCACAAGCTAGAGAACAAACAGACCAGTATGCAAATATTGAGAAAATAAGAAGACTTGACCCTAACGTTCCAGGAGTTTATGTTAACCTTTCTGGTTCAGATGGAACTGCTGCCACTAAAGTAAAACTGAAACTTAGAGTTCCTTTGTCATCTTTCCTCATCTTCAGGTTTTTAAGATACTTGCCAAACTGGGCAGGAAAAATTTCTATCGAACTTACTCCAAGCAAAAATAACTTAGTCATTGCACCAACACAAGACCCATTCAGCATTACTGTAGCTGGAACTGGTGGAGCCAAGTTCTGTGACTTTTGCAAAGACAAGGTTGACTTAGACTTTGGTTTCTCAAACTTCAACAATGAAGTAAACTATTATTTCAATGCTGCTGGAACTGCTTGGGACCCAGTTAAGTTCACATGCGAAAAATTTGAATGCAAGAGAATAGAAAGCAGACTTGCAGTCTATATGTTGGACCCAGATATTTCAAATGCTTTAGCTGCCAAATATATTGCAGTTCCACTTATGTTCCCTATACACCAAATATCTGTCAAAGACTTTGCAGGTGAAGTTGGAAACCAAAGTGCTGACCCAGGTGCAAGAACAGATATTGCTTTAACAACTGCAATGAAACATGCAGATACTATGTTTGTACTGTTCAGACGAACTATAAATGACTATTCTTGTTTCTACAACCCCGGTATTAAATATCATATAAACATAGATGGCAAATATTATCCAAGAGAAGAATATTCTACAGTTGAGGATATGAGGTCATACAACTTGACATTAGATGCTATGAACTTTAACAACAACTTCACAACGACCATTAACCCTGAAATGCAAAGTTCTATTATGCCATATGTGAAAGTATGGACTCATACAGGAGGTCAAAAAACTCAATATACAAATGGAGACCGTTCAAACTTTTGGCTTGGCATTCCATTTGCTGACTCAGAAGACTTTATGGGTGGTATTTCAACTGTTGGTACTGTACAAATACAATATACTGGTGACAGAGACGGTCCAGATGAACTGAGAGCAAAGAAGTTTACAAAACCAATAGCACTTTTCACGGAAGATGCTCTTTTGAAGATTCGTTCGATGAAACCTGCTGGGGCTCCTCAGATTGGCATAACGACAGCTTCCATCGAGCAGATTTTGGCAGCAGGTCAGTAAGTTGTTCTTGAACTGACTTCTCTCCGTCAAATATTGACAGTACGCCAGTTTTGACATAATATTGTAAGATAAACTTACCTTTAGAAATATCTGTAAGTTTTGAAGTTATATTTTTGTCTGCTTCAAGAACTTTCACCATTTCAGTTATACCAACTTTCTTTGCTTTATGAAAATATTTTGGTTCAGCAAAGACTGCTATTCTATAACATTTACCATTGTTTGTATAAAGAACTATTCTGTCAATGTATTTGTATTGTTTGTGTGTGTAAACTTTGTTCTGCTTCAATTCGAAGAGATACTCGAATACGTCCATCTTTTTATTCTAAGTAAAATGTCATTTCCGAAAAATAGAAGCGTGAGTGTTTCAAAAGGTTTAATGGCGGTGGCAGATGTGAAGTTAAATTCACCAACTCAAACAAACAGTCAAAGTGTTGTTGTCAATGTCAAAGACAGAGATGTTGAAGTGGGGAAACCATACGAAGACGAAGATGGTATAACAATTGTTCCTGTAAAAGAACAACCAACATATCCTGAAGTTAGCAGAGACTTAAGTTCTGTTGCAGATATTCGAAACGACTACCAACAACTTAAAGACAAACTTCAAACTCAGGAGAAGATTTGTCAAGCTTTAGGTATAATGTTAAACTTGGTCGAACACAACCCTGTAAAAGTGAACTCATATGTCATTGCACCTCATGAAGTTTTGAAAAACTATTGAAACTTTTGACAGAGGCAGACGATATAAACATCAAAGAAATAGAACCCGACATTAGTTGCTGTGGTGTTTCATATAATGTCATTGACAAGATATACGTTATGAAAGGAGGTGAAACGTTGAACTTAAAATATAGTTTCCCAGACGTCATAAAAATATTTGACGACCACAACATTTCATTAAAATTTATTTGCTAAGTAAAAATGTCAAAACTTCTTGAAAGATGTTTGAAGAAAAATAATATAGACTTTATTTCATGTAAAGGACTTTACACACTTTTGAACGATATGAAAGTCCCTGTTTTGTTTGTTCGTGTAGACAAAGGAAAGTTCTATGTCTTTACAAAATATTTGAACTTCTTAGACAGAGAACTTCAAGAAACGCCATGTGAAAGTTTAGATGAAGTTCTTCTCCACTTTCAGAAAAACTTTTAAATATATATATAAATGGCAGAAGACATAATGGTTTATACTATTACGACTAAAAACCCTGAGTCATATAATTCTATAACAACAAACTTACAAAGTCCTCAAGGACGATATTGTAAACTAACTTTAAACAATGACGACTAAAGCCTGTTTTGCTCTTTTGACACCAGAAGACTTTATTGTTGTGAATGGTAAAAAATACTCCTTTGAAGATACTTACTCAGATATACCACCAACAGGTTTTGTTGACTTATTTAATACTTTAAGGACGGGTGTAACATGTGCTGCAACTAGAGCAGGTTTCATTATGTTTGGATGTCCGACTGAGTTTACTATAAACAATATGAGCTATAATACAAAACTTATTTCTGGTTTTTACTACCAACAGTTTCCTATAACAGGAAAAGGTGTCATACAAGGAATGTCTATTCCATTGACATTAAGCACACCAATCTTATATATTGTTTCAAACTTAGGTTCAAAGTGTTATTCGAATGTCGACAGAAACTATTATGACCAAAAGATACTTATGCGTATAAACAATACTTTCTCTGCTGGTTTGCCTATTGTTCATTCGAATGCAGAATTTTCAACCTTAGTGAACTCAAACACTTTGGCAAGTATAACGTTGACATTAGTTGACGCAAACTTTGTTCCTGTAAAACTTTTATGTCCTATGTATTTGTCAATGACGGCAGAAAGTTTCGAATTGGAAGATGCAACTGGTGAAAGTATTGTATTACAAGAACAACTTCAACAACAAATAGCTCAAGAACAACAAATGCAACAAATGGAACAACAAAGTCAAGAATAAAAAAAATATTTTTTTATTTTTATAAAAATGTACAGAATAGATGTTTCAGATTTTTATGACTTCCAAGCATTCAGAAATATGTGTCCATTTCGAGACTATAACAAAGCAGTCGAGAATTTGAAACGTTTAGTCATTTATGTCGACTCTGCCCCAGAATGTTATGTTATGAAAGAATGGGATGTTGTCTTTAACAAACCAAGAGCAACAATAGTGTCTGAACAAGAATGTAGACAGAAACTTAAGAAAATAAAAGTTGTACAAGTTGGCATGAAGATGTTAGATGCTTGGGATATCTTATTGTCAAAGTTAGAAGATTTTTCAGTTCGAGGTATAAAGTTCTATACACCTTCTCCAAACTTCTATTCTATCTTCACTGGATATAAATACGAACAAGTAGAATGGAAAGAAAATATTATAGAAGCTTGGTTAGACCATGTCAAAGAAATTATATGCAATGGAAGCGAAAAGGTTTATGAGTATATCTTATGTTGGTTTGCAAACATCTTACAACATCCAAGTGCTAAAAATGAAACTGCTCTCATTATAATTGGAAAACAAGGAACAGGTAAGAACACATTCTTTACAGATATCTTATGCAAACTGTTAGAAGGTTATTCGAACCCGAATATGACAAACATAGAAAACATCTGCGGTAAATTTAACTCCTCAATAGAGAATATGAAACTTATAGTTTGCAATGAACTTCAAAGTATAGATACAACAAAAGTTTTGAACTCAGATGCTTTGAAGAGTCTTATAACAGACAAAGTTGGAGTTGTTGAAAGAAAATATAAAGACCAAAGAGTTTGTGAAAATGTTGCAAACTTCATTATGGTTTCAAACAATACTGTTCCGATGAAGTTAGAAAGTTCTGACAGAAGATATGTAGTTGTCAGAACGTCAGATTCTCATATGCAAGATACAGAATATTTTGACGACTTAGCAGAAACTTTGACATCTGACTTTTACAACCACTTGTTCTCATATTTTATGACATTAGATATTTCAAAGTTCAATCCAAGACAAATTCCACATACCGAAGAGAGACAAACATTGTTAGAAGCAAACAAGAGTGTATATGAACTGTTCATAGATGAAACTGACTTTGTGTCATTAGATGAAAGGTCATTGTACGATTCGTATAAACAATATTGTCAAGAATATGGTTATATGACAGCGTCTAAACGAACATTCTTGGCAAATGTCAAAAGTCTTTTAGACGTACAGAATGGTGTATATACAAAGAAAAATTTTTATGAGTAAATTTTAAAAAAAATATTTTTTTATCCGATAGAAAAGATGGCAAAATTCATCTCAGTAAACAAGTACATGTCAGGACTTAAAGAAGAACTAGACCCATTCACATATTTGAATGTTTACTTCTACCATTTTGAAAAGTCTTCATTCAGCAAAGTTTGGAACATCGAACCAGTTAAGTTTGCTATTGTGACTAAAAATGGTGCGAAATTTGAAGACTTAGACATAGAAGGTTTGTTAGCAGTCAAAGAAAATTTTGACAGAAGGTTCTCAAACCTTAAAGAAGGCAAAGCATACAAACTTGTTATACCTTATGAACCAAAGAAAGCAGACGACTATGAATATTATGAGTCTAAGATAGTTGAAGTTCAAGGTAAATTGGGTAAAAAGATTTTAGAGTCTAAGCCAGTGTTTGCTCCTAAAGAGGAAGAGAACATTGACATTGACCCAGAAATGTTCTAAAAATAAAATTTTATTTTTACATGTCAAATTTCTTTTTCTCTGGAACTGGTTCAGGTTCTTTCTTCTCTTCTTCTACTTTCTTTTCTTTCTTTTCTCTCTTCTTCTTTTCTGGTGGAGTTATGTCAAATTTGGCGCAACCATATTTATGTAAAAGTTCTTTGTCCTTTAATAGCTCATCTATTCTGTTTTTTATTTCATCTTCAAGAACAGCGCATGTGTCTTCTTTGCATTCTAAGAAGTTTTGTTGGACTTCATCTCTCCAAGAGGCGTCATCTCTGTCAACAAGTCTGTCATTGACAAATTTTAAGACTTCTCTGCTTAATGTTTTATGGTTCTTGTCATATTCCCAGAAACAGAACTTTAGAACAAATTCACCTTTCTTGTTTACACTATGTAAGATTTTATGGTCGACAGATGTTTTGCTGTCAAAAAGTTTGTCTCGAATATAGATAGCGAAATCGCTAGACATTTTCTAAAAGATAAAAATTTTAATTTTTCTAAAAATATGTTAGAAAAAAAGTTTGCTGACATTGACAAGAAATTTGAGAATGTTTTAAACAAGAACAAGAGGAAGTTAGAAAATGCTCAGATAAAACCCATACATGACAAGTTCTTATTTGCTCAGAATGGTATAACAGGTCTAATTGCACCACCTGGGTCGGGTAAGACTTTCACTTATCTTAAAATGGCTGCACAACAACAAGAACTAGATGAGAAGAACCCATTCTATGAGTTAGTTGTTATTTGTAGTACTTCTGGTCAATTTGACCAAACCGTCAATTCGTTCAAAGATATTATAAAGAAGTCTAAGTTAGTATGTATAAAAGACTCTGAGTTGTTAGATTGGATAAAGAAGTACCAAAGAAGAGTTTTGAAGTATAATGCTATAAATGAGTATATAAATTCTAAGTTTAAAGACCCAAATGAGGAAATGCAGAGAATATTAGAGAAGAAACACTTCAGAAACAAACAGAAAGAGATAGAATACATTTCGAAGAAATTGCAATCTTACGATTGGAAGACTTACCCTCATAGATGTCTTCTTATCTTAGATGACTTTGCTTCTCATCCTTTGCTTAAGAATAGAGAACAAGATATGTGTCGAATTCTTAAGAAGCTCAGACACTTTAACATCTCAGTCGTAATATGTGTACAGACAGCAAAGAGTTTAAGTAAGGATGTTAAAAGAATACTTACTGACATTGTACTTTTCCCCGGATTGTCCGAAGACGATTTCATGGAACTTATGAAAGAGTCCATGGCAGGTAAGTTTGACAGACATGAACTATGGGAGAAGTACAAAGTCATACAAGACCCTCATACT